AAACATCAGGTCAAATCATAGCCCAATCAGTTTATTACAAGTCCTAGTCATTAAGGGAGATGGGGAAGGGAAAGCAATAGGAGGCAATAGGGCAATAGGAGAGATGGGCAATAAAAGCAAAGTCTACTGTCTCTGTAGGAAGCAAGGGGGAGATAGTTACCGTGATAGTCATTCTCTTCCAAATGCAAACAGCCCCAAAGAAATGCTTTGTCCACAAATGATGTTGACTGCCACCCAGCAACATCCACCTCTCATCTCCTAGATAAGTCAGGGTCTTGTCGCAAGAAATGCCTCAGATGGCAAACTTTGAGCCGAAAACAAAGAAGGATTCTCACATGTGGTCAACCTGTTGTCCCCCAGAACCTGAATCACAGAATCACAGAACTGTAGGGGTTGGAAGGGACTTCCAGAGATCATCGAGTCCAACCCCCCTGCCAAAGCAGGTTCCCTACACCAGGTCACACAAGTAGGTGTCCAGGCGGGTCTTAAATATCTGCAGAGAAGGAGACTCCACAACCTCCCTGGGCAGCCTGTTCCAGTGCTGCAGGCTCTTCTTCACAGAGCTCCTTCCCAACAGGTTGTTCTCTAAGTTGTCCAAGTGTGTGTGATTATTCTTGTTTATTCTTCCCCAAGTGCATGACTTTATACTTCCCTGAGCTGTGCATCCCTAAACCTCTAGGTGGGGACCGGGGTGGTCCGCCCCCCCACTGCGAGGACAGAGCAGGTCCAAGACCGCCTCATGAGACTGAATGTGCACAAGTCTATGGGGCCGGATGGCGTGCATCCCAGGGTTCTGAAGGAGCTGGCTGAGGTGGTTGCTGAGCCTCTCTCCATCATATTTGAAAAGTCGTGGCTGTCAGGTGAGGTTCCAGATGACTGGAGGAAGGGTCACATCACTCCCATTTACAAGAAAGGGAGCAAGGAGCACCCAGTGAACTACAAGCCAGTGAGCCTCACCTCTGTGCCTGGGAAGATCGTGGAACAGATCCTCCTGGATGACATGCTTGATCACATGAGGAATGAGCGTGTGATCTGAGACAGCCAGCACGGCTTCACCAGGGGAAGTCACGCTTGACCAATCTGGTGGCCTTGTATTATGGAGTGACAGCATTGGTGGGCAAGGGAAAGGCGACCGATGTCATTTACCTGGACTTGAGCAAGGCCTTTGATATGGTCCCCCACCACATCCTTATCTCCAACTTGGAGGGATGTGGATTTGATGGGTGGACCACTTGATGGATAAGAAACTGGTTGAAAGGCTGCAGACAGAAGGTGGTCATCAATGGCTCTATGTCCAGGTGGAGGCCAGTAATGAGCAAAATCCCCCAGGGTCTGTCTTGGGACTGGTGCTCTTTAATATCTTTATCAATGACATTGATGATGGAATTGAGTGCACCCTCAGCAAGTTTGCTGATGACACCAAGCAGAGTGGTGGTGTTGACACAGTGGAAGGAAGGGATGCCATTCAGAGGGACCTCAACAGGCTGGAAAGGTGGGCCCGGGTGAACCTGATGAGGTTCGACACGGCAAAGTGCAGAGTTTTGCACTTGGGCTGGAGGAATCCCAGGCGTTTATACAGACTGGAAGGAGCGGTCCTTGAGAGCAGCCCTGCACTTGGGGGTCCTGGTGGATAAAAAACTTAACATGAGCCAGCAGTGTGCTCATGTAGCTTGAAAAGCAAATAGTATCCTGGGCTATATCATTAGAAGGGTGGCCACTGCTGGCTCATGTTCAGCTGAGTGTTGACCAACACCCCCAAGTCTGTTTCCTCTACATGGTCTTCCAGCCACTCTGCCCCAAGCCAGTAGTGTTGCCTGGGGTTGTTGTGGCCAAAATGCAGGAGCCAGCATTTGGTCTTGTTGAACTTTGTCCCATTGGTCTACCGCAGCTATCCAGCCTGTCCAGATCACTCTGCTGGGCCTTCCTTCCCCCAGGCAGATCAACATTTTCTGCAGATTTGGTGCCATCTGCAAACTTGCTGAGGGTGCATCCAGGTTATCAAAGAAATTGAAGAAGACAGGCCTTAGGCACACCATTTGTGACTGTTTGCCAGCTGCATTTAATTTTCTTCACCACCTAGCCAGTTCTTTACCCATCAGAGTGTATCTGTCCAGGCCATGGGCTGCCAGCTGGAGAATACTGTGGGAGAAAGTGTGAAAGACTTTGCTGAAATCAGGCAGATTCATCCACCAGGCAGGTCACTCGCAGTGGAGATCAGGTTGGCCAAGTAGAACCTGTCTTTTATGAACCCATGCTGGCTAGGCCTGATCCTCTGGTTGTCCTGCACATGCCATGTGATCTCCCTAAAGATGGTCTGTTCCATAACCTTACCTGGTACTGAGGTCAGGCTGACAGGCCTGTAGTTCCCTGAATCCTTCTGGTAGATTGGAGTCACTTTGGCAAGCATCTAATCCTCTGGGACTTTTCCAGATGACCAGGAATGCTGATACATGATGGAAAGATGATAGGTGATTGTGATATTTCTTAACTTTTTGTTTGTTTGTTTGTTTGTTCGTTTACTTCTGGAGTCTATTTACTTCTAGAGTCAAATTTTGCTCTTAGAAGTCATTAAAAAAAAAAAAATCTTTCTTCTCCCTCTTTTGTCTGGGAAGATGACTATGCGCTCTGTTCAAAGCTGGTTTTCATGCACACATGGGTTTCACAGAACTGATGGCAATATCAGTGACCCTTCTTGCTGTTCTGGCAGGTGAAACTTCAAGTTTCTGCCACATTAAATGGGTGTCAAGACAGACTACTGTTGTGTTTAGAATTGTACTAAATGAAATCTAAGTATTTAATGTATTTTTCTGAAGGTTTAATCATGCCTACTGAAGCCTGCATAATATGAAATCACCACTCCAAAGTCTTCAAAGGGTTCATGGAGAGGTTTCATGAGCTGTCGCCTCTTCATGGAGAAGAATCATTTTGTTCACACAGTGCTGTTGCCTTGTTTAGACTAATGTTGCTTGCTTTCCTCATGAAGATGATGATTTCTCTTCTTACTCTTTCCACCAGACAAAATTTGAGGATGATAATTTTCAGCAGGATTGGTAGTTAAGTGCTTTTTTTGTTTTGTTTTTGTTTTTGTTTCTGCAATGAGCACAGAAATTTGGAAAATAAACACATACCTGACTGATCAAAACTTGTGATACCATGTCTCTGGGGTATGGCCCTTGAGTTTACAGGAAGCGGTTTGAATTTGTATCTCATTCACTCTAATTGCTGTGACAATTTGAAAATGTTTTTGAACAGAAATAGTATGAGGCATGCTAGTTACAATGGTATAAAATGTTTTTATAAATAATGATTGTCCCCATGACAACTGTATAGGAAGGAATATGGCAGGAGAATGTGTTAGTAGATTTGAAGGTGGAGGAGAGCAAAAACTAAGCATGTTAATTGGCCAAGTTCAGTGCAAACCTTTATACATGGAAGTCACTGACACTGGGAATGTGAAAGTGAATTAATCTGTAGCGTGGGCTCCAGCTGATGAGAAAACACAGTAAAGCACGGGCTTTCTTTGTTTTATATCCACACGTACAACCTAAGGGAGATCAGACTGTTCTTGAATGCACTTACTGTGGAACAAAATTTACCAGTCTGTTCTTTACAGGTTTGCAAAAATGACTGTATGCTTTTAAAGAAAGTTTATGTGTGTATGTTTTAAGTATTCTGATTTGTCTGAAATGTAACAAGTAGTTCTTCCTGAACTTGGCCAACAGAACATAGTCTCTGCAGTGAAAATCACTTGAGTTCAAAAGTACACTATTTTTCCATTTTGTTATGGCCAAGAAGGCTTGATGCTGTTGAGAGCTTTTCTTTCCAATGTTACCTTTTATTATTCTGTATCTTGATACTTATATCCAGACAGATAGGATATTCAACAAATGATCTTTGTTCTGATACATTTTCCTGAATCGCCTAGGTGAGAGGGAGATTTGTGGTGAAGAATTATACTGATAACTTCTGACCAGACCTTTAGGAGAAAGGTGTGATAAATTTAAAGGCAGTAGCCTAAACAGTTGAAACTGGTTTAGTGGCTATCTTAGATTACATTCTCAAATTGAGATTATTTTTCTTGATATTTGAAATTTACAAAGAAGGCTTTGAGGACAGAGAATCAATTTTCTCTCTGTTGTACAGATTGCTAGAGTTTTTGCACTGTGAGTCTATTAAAAGTACTTGAGGCCAAAGTAATGTGGCCCTAAAGTGAGGTTAGTATGTCACACATGCATGAAACTGATGTAAAGAACAGTCCCTGTTGATAGTAAACAAGAAAGTGAAACAATGGGTAACTGAGGGCTTCTTCTCCTGAGCTTTATGTATTTGTATAAAGTAGTATCTCTGTTCCCTCATTCCCAGACATTCATTGGATTGGCCATTTGAGAGCTGCATGAAATTAGGTTATTTACTAGGTCTGTGCAAGGTAGGTACTTCTCTTATTTTCTGCTGTAACAGAAAGGTATTGTCAGATCTGTGTGTATATGACTGGTTTTCAGATCAGCCTGGTGACATTGGAGTTGCTTGGTAATTTTGTTTGTAATTCTAAAGTGTGGAATGTCACGGAGGATGCCTTAGTATGTAATGGTGGAGAAACCCAGACTGGTGAAATTTCATTCAGATCATTGTTTCCTACATCACAGATTAGGTTTCTTTTCATTCATCAAAATGTGTATGCTTTTTTTTTCTTGTAAAGTAATTGAACAATTTGTTTTCCAAAAGCTTTGCAGCATAGAAAAAGCTTGTTCAGTTGTTTACCACCAGTGCAGTGTTAGTGTACTTCAGGCTGCTATTTTCACCTTCTGTCATGTTTTAGCTAATGATTTACAACAGTCATCAACTACAAATACATATTTTTTTTAATTTTTAAATAATATTTCTAAAGTCAGAAAATGGGATTTATAATATTTTTTAAAAGCTATTAACCAGTCATGATGCTTTATGGTAAGTAGGAGGAACTCTGGTATATCCTTAAATGTATTGTTATTAATCTTTTTCAGGTAAATATTACTCCTTCTGTACATTTCACTAGTGAATTCCCTCAGCTTCTCCACCACGGTGTGAATGCAGGGTCCTTACCGCATAATGAGTCATATTTGTTGGCTCAGCAGAATGGCAGCCCAGCTAATGTGTTAGAAGCATCAATCAGATCCATTACTCCACAGATTAATGGGAAATCCACTAGTGATGACTTTGAGCAACTGATCAGAAGTATGTCCCAGGTAACCATATTTTCTGCTAATCCTGAAATGTGGCAAAAGAGTAACATACTTCCTATAAAAAACAAAACAAAGGTAACCTTTTAATGTGAAAAGCAGTTGGTACATGAGAAAACAGTATTGGAAAAGTAGCCTTGATGTTGTTTCTGCTGATACTGTCTTTAGCTGGGCAGTATGACACTCATAGATCTGAATGCTGTTGTCTTTCTGTGGTCACTGATGCACATATGTAGGATATGCTTTGATATAGCATGCTCTTGTGTACATAACTAATTAAAGCTAATTATGTCATTGAAAATAAGATGAGAAATTCCTTTTTCCTTTCTGACCTTGCTGTGTGGTGTTCTGTAATCTTACTATGATTCTGTGGTAGGCAGAAGTTGTATGTGAATCAGGTTGTGGCTGAGAATGGCCATGCATCTGTTCTGGAATTTTTCTAATTAACCTTTGAAAGAGCTGGATATGGGAAGTCTTCTGATGTTCTAGAAAGCCTTTTGCACACTTATACTTTTTCCTTGAATTCCATCCTTTTATTTCTTGTCCTGCATCAAATTTGTCCTATACCCTCTGAGATTGTACAGATCTGAATATCCTAGTTTTGTCACTCTTGAACCTGAGCTCTATACTGAACTGATTTTTCCTGTTTTTTTCTCTTCTCTCTCAAATCCTTAGTAATAATTACCACGCTGATATGATAGTTACATTTCAGAACTGAATAACTGTGTTTCAGTTACTAACTTTATGTAACCTTGCCCAGTTGTAGAGGTCAGATTGAAAATTCATTTAACAAATTGTTTACCACATTCACTAATTCTGCTCTTTGACACTTTTAATATCTGTACCCTTTTATTTCTTCTGCTTAACAGGGTCGTCCTGTTGAGACAATTGAGCTTATTAAGCCTTTGAGTGGTGGCCTGGGGTTCAGTGTTGTGGGGCTCAAGAGTGAAAACAGAGGAGAATTAGGAATATTTGTGCAAGAAATCCAGGAGGGAAGTGTGGCACATAGGTAAGATGGCAACTGAAATATTCTACTGTGCCAGGTGTTAATGTCACACTACAATTGAGTTTATATATTTGTGGTATGAGCATGTGCTTCACTTGGCACCCTGAGCCATGCAGCCTAGCATTACTCACTATTACAGTTCTTACAGTCGTGATCAGAAAGATCAGAAAGGTCCTGGTAGTAATAAATATTTCAGACCCTCTGGCAAATAGTTCAAGTTCACAAGTAAAATATTATATGTTAAAGCCAAATAGCGTTTTTTTGTGAATGTTGTTGACTACTTGTAATATAGAAGCTGGTGTAATATGGATTCTTATGTGCAGTACTGCCCTTTGTTTTGTAAAGCACTGCCACTTTAGGATGCTGAAGACGTGGCCAGTGTCCCTGCTTGGGACACTGTGTTGTGAAACAGATAGAAGCAGTGAAGGAGTCAGAGGACAACTTGTCTGTGTAGGCTTTATGCAGTTCATTTGAAGTGGGTCTAGGGAAGGGCTTGGTATGTAGTTTTACAGTAGTGCTTCCTTTGTCAGAAAGTGAAGAATTATTGTATAATTTATTCATGCCTTTTTTTCTCGCTTAAAAGGGATCTATTTTATGATTTTTTTTTTTCCGTTTTTTCTCTGTGCACCTCCTTCCCCTCCTTTTTTTTTTTTTTTTTTTTTGTTTGTTTGTTTGTTTGTATGAAACAAAACTAGGTACCATAACATCTTGATGGAAATGTGTTCCAGTCGATGGTTTGATGAATATTCAGAATGGGTGCACTGAACAAAGTAGAGCAGTTGGTCTGTTAGGCAGGAGGCTCAAAGTTGGGAATATACATAAGTTCCCAGGCAATGGTTGGGAGTGACTTGAGATCTAATATGCTTAGTCTCGGATGGAGGTACAGGGAGAAGAAAGGTAGCTAGGGGGTAGGAGCCAGGGGAGAGTGGCAGAAGGATTAGCTTCAAAGGAAGCAATCACCAGGGTGCTGCATCAGCTCCTTTCAGCAGAACTGCAGGGAAAGATTAAAAAGTAGTTGAAATAGAGAAGAGGATATTGAAAGTACTGGAAAACTGTCAAAATATTATAATTGCTGTGGCAACACTTTTTTGATTTTTCTTGTTTGGTTGGTTTGTCACCCCCCTTCCCTGTTGATGCATATGTGACAGAGATGGAAAGCTGAAGGAAGCAGATCAAATCCTTGCTATTAATGGACAAGCCCTTGATCAGACAATTACACATCAACAGGCTATCAGCATCCTACAGAAAGCAAAAGATAATGTCCAGCTAGTTGTGGCCAGAGGCAGTTTTCCTCAGCTCATCAGTCCTGTAGTTTCTCGGTCTCCATCTGCTGCTAGCACAGTTTCAGCCCATTCCAACCCGGTGAGTATAACCCAGGTGTCTGTGTATTCACTTCTGGGTGTGTATTCCTTAGATCATCTAATATTTGGGGATTTTTTATTGTAACTTGCATGTATATTTTTTCATCTGCAGATTTTTCTTCCAGGTATCTTTATTGCACTTTGTCCCATGCAAAGAGTAGAAAATGCTTAGCCTTGCTGTGGGGATCTCAATGTTGGCCATACTCATTCCATCTGCCAAACTGTATCTTCAACATTGGAAATACAGCAGATTTACATTCCTGTATGAAGTTCTGTTTTAACATAGCAGTGAACAAGAGCTCTGTTTTCCTTTTGTGGGCAAAAATAAATTTCTGTGGAACTGCATACTAATCCGCACAACCAGCTCAGTGGATACTTCTCTGCTCCTTTGTTCTGTTATAAGAGTAGGTCTCAAATAAAGCAATAGAGGAAGCTATCAAAATGCTGTAGGTAGGGGCACACTTTAGGACGCACAGAAGTCAGCTCTTCTGCTTTTGAAAGCTTTTACACATCTAGATGAAGAGAAGATAAATCAGAAGAGCAGTAATGCTATACTTCTCTCTTCCTAGTATCTTCCTCATGTAATGGCTGATACATTTTTGCTTCCCCCCAGGGTTGTATTTTTGGATCTTACTGTTCATTCATCTGAGAGTCTTCTTCAGGGTAGTCTGTAACTAGAGGTATATGGAACGTTCTATCAACTATTTTAGTGTATTTTAACTACTAGCATAAAACATTTGGTAACAGAATTTCAGAAGCCTTGCCTTATTGTTTCCTTATGTGTGCAGAAATATTGCAGATCAGATAACCCTTTCCTGTCAGTGCACAGGATAGGCCTGCTTTCTTGCAGTATTTGTGTTGTGTACTTCTTTCTTTTTGTGATTACCTCTGTATTTCCCAAACGTCTTTTTGAAAAATGTTCCTTTAAAACATGCCATAGCTCATTCATTTTTTTTCTTATGCATGTTTTTTCTAGTCATTTCTAGTCATTTCCCTTAGTTTTCAATCGCTTCTGAAAAGTAGTTTTTTCTTGAAGCCCTCTTTTTTTGTTTGGGATTCGTTTTGTTGTCTTTGGTTTATGTTAAGGCTGTGGATACCAAGAAGTATCATGTGGCTTATATTTGCAGTATCTTGATTTATTCCAAAATAACACTTTATTTTTGAGGTCCTTCCTGATCGAACACCAGCTCTGGTTTTAAATTTTAAATGGGTTAATGATGTGTTTAGTGCAAGAACAAATCGATACCATGAACGTTCCAGTCATCTGTTCAGTACTGTACCGTGTGAACTACCGTTTGTCTTTCAGAGCAGTTACACTTCTGCTGCAAAATGAAGCCTACAATCAGAGTCATTTCAGTGCAATGCTGCAGACAACTCAGAAAGCTTTGTTCACTGCACAGGGAGAAATTCTGTTAATACATTACTTGCAATTTCTACTGCTGCATTTAGTCTTAGTCTTTGAATGGGGTTTATACTTTCTGATGTGTTTCGTGTGCCAGTGTGAATACGCACATATTTGAAGGTTTTGTTTTCCAATTCTGTGAGGTTTCCTAGAAGCAGCAGTATTATTTTCTCACGAACAAGGAAGTGGACAGTCATAGATAGTTGCATAAATTCTTTCAGCAATCATTTTCAGGAGTGGCTAGACCTTCTTAACTGATGACAGCCCACTTAACTGATGACAGGATGTGTGGCCGAGGCACAAAGCTATGCAGTGGGATGTTCACACTGGACATTAGAAACAATTCTTTACTGTGGAAGTGGTCAAACACTGGGACAAACTTCTTAGCAAGATACTTGATTCCTTGTGATCATTAGTGTTTATGACACAGTGGATAATGCCCACATTAATATGTGTTAACTTTTGCTTTGTAAGTCCCTTCCAACTGAACTGAACTTTTGGTTCTGTTGACTACCCTTCCTCCTACCTTTCTTTGTTTGAAACCATACTTGAGGAATAAGAGAAAATATTTATAAGTGTTAATATGTAAATCCTTATTTTTATCGTTTGCAAATTTAATGTTTTTTTCTTTGAGGTGTACTGGCAGCATGTGGAGACCATAGAGCTGGTGAATGATGGCTCAGGTTTGGGATTTGGGATAGTTGGTGGAAAGTCAACAGGAGTGATTGTTAAGACCATCCTCCCAGGAGGGGTAGCTGATCAGGTAAATTCAACCAACCTTTCTATTTATCGTTCAGTACAGTGTGAAGTTGCTCTTTACTTTTATACTCATACTAACTAGTGCTAGCTTTTTACTTTGAAGTGTAAGAAGGAGAGTATATGGTGAATCTTTTCCTTAGTAAAGGTTTATTTGGTGCTGGGAATCTGTGTGTTTGAATATAAAAGTTGAAGTAGTTTCCACATTGCTTTTTTACATCTACTGTAGGTTTGGTACTGATGCATTTAGACCTCTAATTCTTTCATGAATATACGAGTTGTAATTCAAGAAGGCAGTAATCATTTTGCCCCCTCTGCCCATGCAGGTAGAGAGAATGGCGATTATACATCTCTCCGTTAGGCTTTCTTAAAGTTAGTGCAAGCGTCAGCCTTCATAGGTCTGCTTTAGAACACAGGCTGTGTAGCTACCTATGTGAAAGTGGTCATCAGAACCCATTTTGAGCTCGACACTGAGCAAACAGACAAATTCATTTAGAGACACTTTAATACTTTCCTATGGGCTAAATTCTTATGAACATTGTTATTATTTAAATAGGAGAATAAACCTAAATAAATAGGAGTGGGAAACAGTATAACTAACTGAATCACACTAAGAGAGAAGTGTATTTTAAGTTTTGCTTAATTCTGAGAGCTGTTTTTTAAATAGAATCATTATGCTGAGTATACCTTTTTATGCTGTGTTTGGAAATGAAATCTGGAATTCTCTAAACAACTGTAACATATTAGCAGGTGGTAGTCATAACTATGTGCATTTTTTTCGTGCTTAGGTGACTGTGTAAATAAAGAATGTCCAAGATATTTTTTGAGAAATATCCAGCAAAATTGATGTGCCGTTAGGTAACACACTTGTCTTCTACCATGCTATGAGGATGTTGATTTGGTATTCAAATAGTCTCTAGTTCATATGCGTTACAGGTTACTAAAGCTGTACACAGCTTTATTATTTCCCAAATTTTATCATTCCCAAATTTTATTATTTATGGGAGAAATTGCAGGGTGGTTACTTCACTGTTTATTTTTCCCATCCAGCATGGGAGATTATGTAGTGGAGACCACATTTTGAAGATTGGTGATACTGACTTGACTGGAATGAGCAGTGAACAGGTGGCACAAGTTCTGAGGCAGTGTGGAAATCGAGTGAAACTGGTAATTGCAAGAGGTCCTGTTGAGGAACCACCTCCACCAGCAGTTCCACCAGGTACTCCAGTACCCATCCCGACACCAGAGAAACAAGTAAGCAACAGTAAATATACTTGTAGCATACCTATACTTCAAACATAATTTTATTTTGACTTCTATTTGAATGTCTCTCATGCTTATGTTCTCAAAAGTCAGCATTTTTATTCTCAGTAGCAGTGTTTTTATCTTACTCTCTGGGAGATTTTAAATGTCATCAGTCCACGTTGCAAGGAACCGCATGCTTAAATCTTTCCAAGATGCAGGGTTGGAAATAAAGATATAACCGGAATAACTTCTGGATTAATTAACCCTTGGACTTGCTTGTGATTTTGCAGTAATACTTTGGAAAGTATCCGTGTAATTTTTTCTTCAGAGCATGCTGTTTCTGTAACATTTCACAGTTCACTTATAATTTTTCTCTTCAGAATCATTTTTATTTCCATATCATCAGTTGACAGGCTGGAGAAGTGGGCACATGAGAACCTGATGAGGTTCAACAAGGCCAAGTAGAAGGTGCTGCACTTGGGTTGGGGCAATTCCAGGTATTTTTGCAAACCAGGAGAAGAAACCAGGAGATCTTGAGAGCAGCGCTGTGGAGAAGGACTTGGTGTCCTGGTAGACGAGAAGCTGGACATGAGCCAGCAGTGTGCGCTTGCAGCACGGAAGGCCAACTGTGTTTTGGGCTGCATTAAAAAAGGGGTGGAGAGGGAGGTGACAGTCAGAATAGTATCATCAGCAAACTTGATAAAAGCACCTTTTAGTCCTACCTCAAAGTCATTTATGAAGATGTTAAAGAGAATTGGCCTTTAAATGGAGCACTGGGGAACCCTGCTAGAGACTGGATGCCAGCCTGATGTAACTCTCTTTACTATAATTCTTTGGGCCCAACCTCTCAGCCTGTTGCTCACCCACCACATTAGGTTTTTGGCTAGCTATGTGCTGGGCATTTTGTTCAGTAGAATACTGTGAGAAACAGTATCAAAAGCTTTACTGAAATCCAAAAAGATACCAACTGGCTTCCCTTGGTCAGCTTGTCATAAAAGGAAATTAAGTTAGTTAAACAGAGCCTTCCCCTCATGAAACTGTGTTGGTTGTGACCAATGACCACGTTGTCATTTGGGTGTTCTTCAATAACTCCCAGCATAATTTTCTCCATAGTTTCACCAGGCACTGAAGTGACAGGCTTGTAGTTACTGGGGTCTTCTTTCTTGCCATTCTTGAAAACTGGAACAGTGTTTGCCACTTCCACTCAACCTCTTCCGTTTCCCAAGACCAGTGAAAAATAATTGAGAGAGGTCTTGTGATGATATTTGGTCTGCTCTCCGGGAATCCTGGTATGAATCCCATTGGGCTCCGTGGATTTATATGCGTCCGATTCAAAATGGCCTGGGAGTTGATTGTTACCACAGTCACAGTCCTCCAAAATGGGGCATCTGCGGTCCCAGAGCCCACTATCGGTGTTACAGAAGCAGAGAAGGCATCAAATATCTGTGCTTCATCTTCATCTCTCCCTTTTTTAAGGTGACAATTCTCATCAAGAAATGAACCAATGTTCTCTCTGCTCCTCCTTTTGTTGTTAACATATTTTAAAAACCCCTCTGTATTGTCCACTACAGTATTGGCCAGCTTCAACTCAAACTGAGCTTTAGCTGCACAAATTTTCTCCCTGCAAAGGCAAACAGCATCTCTGTAGTCTTCTCATGTGGCCATACACTTTCTGCCTAAGCTCTAGAAGAAGCCCCCTGTTTCAGGCCTTCTGCCCTGCCTCCTTAACTTCTGATGTTTTGGAATTGCCTATTTCTTAGCTCTCAGGAGGTGGTACTTCAAAAGTGGCCAGCACTGATGGGCTCCAGTGCCTTCAAAATGAATATCCTAGGGTAGCTTCCTAACTAGTTCCCAGAGCAGTCTGGAATCTGCTCTCCACAAGTCTGGGGTTGAGGTTTTATGGCAGTTTTCCTCCTATCACCAAAAAATTTAGATTTGACTACATCATGGTCACTTGGTCAAGATAGCCAGCAGTGAGGTCTTCTGTGTTCACAAGCAACAAATCTAGGAGGGCACCTTTCCTCCCTGGCTCCCTTAGTACCTGTACTAGAAAGGTGTTTTAGAAATCTCCTGGACTTGCTTGTATGAGATGTGTGGTGTCCTAATTAATGTCCATCAAATTGAAGCCCTCCATAAGGACAAGGGCAGAGGGCTCTCTTAGTTTCTTAGAAGAAATTCATCAGTATTACCTTCCTGCCTGGGTGGTCTGTAGAGGATTCTCACAGCAGTATCGTCTTTATTTGCTTGTCTCTTAGTCCTTACCAGGTACTTCAATTATTTGTGAAAAGATATCTATGAAATTAATATTTGACTTGAAAAAGTCATTACCAAAGGCTCTCGACTGTATGTAATCACTAGCTGACAACTCTATACAGTCCAGCCTCTGCATTACATACGGCAGCACCACTCTGCTTCTCCTCCTCTGCCTGTCTCTTCGGAGAAGCCTGTAATTGTTCAGAGCACACCGGTCACAGGACTTTTCCCACTAGATTTCACTTACAGCAGTGACATCATAGCTCTGGACTGACCCAAGGCTTCTCTCTCTTTTTAACTGTTCCATAGGTTGCATTCACTGGTGTAGAAGCATTTCGAACGTGCTTCATTGTATCCAGTGCCCTGTGTATTAGACTGAAGCATCTCACTAGAATGCAGCCCTTCTGATTGTGGCGTGCCATCTGATAGGTTATCACCAACATTGTAGGTGGACTTCAGCTGCTCTACTGGTCTCACACACAACTCCAGCCTGTAGGCTCATCTCTCAACAGCTGGGTTTTATCCTCTTCCTACTTCAAATCTAGTTTAAAGCCCTTAATGTTTTGTCACATAATTATATGTAATTATAATCAGATACAATTAAATGTGAATATGTGGAATATATGAGACAAAAAGGTGCCTCTGAGCCTACATATAGATAAAATTTATGCTTTGAAAAGAATTTTCCATTTTACTTTTTCCTGTTGTTCTTTAGATATATTCTCGCTAGCTACAAATTGCTTTTCAGATACATCAAAATTAAAAAGCCTTCTTTAATAAATCCTTACATAACTGCCATTGTTTTACATTCTGTTTGTTGTAATGGGATCTGTGGAAAAAAACAGGTATAACCACAACAGTCTGGATGAGTATAAGGTTAACTAAGATAGTTAATCTTAACATGCACACTTTCAGTCATTCTGGAGTCTCTTAAGAGGAGAGAGTGATGTCTCTGCTGCTGTCTCTGAAGCACTGAGGCATTAGACCATGGCTTTCCTGTAGATAAAATGAATAATATATGACCTATTAGTTATCTGTAAAGTGACAATTTGAGAAAGGAAGCTGAATTTTATAATTCATCTGTATATATTTTTGAGCATTTGCTTTTCTGTGGTTACAGAATGAGGCCATTTGCAGGATATGTAGAATTTGATATACTGAAAAAAAAAGCTGTGAGCCTCCAAGAGGCCTCATTTGTTTGCCTCCTTCGTTTCCTTTGCTTTTAATACCTAGTACACCATTCCTGTCAGGAGCAGACTGTTTTAAAACTGCTTTTGCCTGCACAGAGGCTTCTTGGAGGAGGGAACACTCAATGATGCTGCAATCCTCAGCAAATTGAATCTGGGTATTAAACGTCAGTGAAATGAAGGTGATGATGAAACACCTTTTCTTGGTTTGTCTGCTTCCTTACAAAAACATAGTGGCCTAAGTCTGCATGATGCTCTTGTGAGAGCATATTGTTCTTCCAAAACTGTAAAGGGTAGTTAAAGCACTAGAATGTTATTTTTCCTCTGATTGTGTTTTTAGATGGAGTTTTTCAGATAAATAGCTGAAATCAGAAGTCAGATTCTCTTTTAGCAAATAGTATCATAGCTCTCCTGAAGTGTCTTTTTCTTTTTGGAGGGGTGAGGGGTGGGAAGGAAGAGAGAAGCAGGACAGCCTGTCTTACCATGCAAGAGGCAACATGAAATAGGAGTACAGCGGGTTCATTATAGATTTTTACTGTACTTGAAATAGCTATTTGTAAGTACTGATGTCTGTATAAACACTTAGCCATGCACTGACACTTGTCAGCTATGGAAGTGGATAGTAAATACACACTTCAGACAGCTGAAAGACTGAAGTTTCTGAAAAAAAAGTGTTTTTTAATGTTGACATTAAGATTTTTAAATGGTATTTTTTTTCTGTTAATATTAAAGCATTACTACTGAAATGTGAATTTGATATACATTCTCCTGTAATGGATACTTTTATTAACAAAAAGTAAATGAATTATTTGCCATGATATTCTTTGTTGTGGACGTCTGGAGGGATGCAGTAGGTCTTAGTGGACATTGTCATTATTTAGCTAAGTGGAACTTCAATTGCTACTGTCTAAAAAAATTTTTTTACGTCTTCCAAAGAACAAGAAAAATAATTGCCTCAGTTAAATAGCTTTAATTCTGTTTTAAACTTGTATGCATAGGAAAAAATAGTTGCAGCTATTGAACAGGAATTTATACAAATAGGAGAAGAATGTATTTTTAAGATGAGAGTCTAAGATTGATTTTTAGGAAGTTCCAGAAAATCTGTAAGCTACATCATATGGTATTTAAAAACAGTTTCTGTAACTTAGTGTAGAAGAGGTTTGTTGTTCAGTTTTTAAAATTCTAGTCATTTTTACTCATCAAATGATTTTATAGCCTGAAGAGTAATATCCTAGAGGCAAGAGTTGGAGAAGGCATGATTTGTGTTGCTTTATGGTTAAACATGTTACCTATGCTGCACTTCTCTGTTTTTATGAGCGAAAATAAAGTTTGTACCTTTTTTTTTTTCTCTTCATGTCTATGTTTAATATTGCATGCTTTCTTAATATTTTTCTTATTAGACAGACGCTTCTGTTGATAGTTGTGAAGAAGGAGAGAAGTTTAATGTGGAACTCACTAAAAATATCCAAGGATTAGGAATAACTATTGCTGGTTACATTGGAGACAAAACATCAGGTAATTATAGATTCCTACAGTCTTACAACTTACCATGTAGTAAGGTGTAGCTGCATTAAATTTTGATGCATGTGTCTTTACTCTGTGGATAACATTTCTTAAAAATCCTTAATCATCTAATACCTTTTTAAAGAAAATGGAATTATTTTCCTTTTGTAAGAGATTCAGTTTAGAAGTAATCAGTTTTTGTTACAAAAACCCAAATTGTTTTTTGTATTTTTATAATTAGGTTTTAAATTCACTCTCAGCTTAAGCTTGTGCTGATTGTGTTGTCAAAAAATATTACCAAGATGGATCGAGTCACTTTTACAAGTGCTGGTTGGACTTTTAAAATCAGATTTTCAGTTTTAAAGACAAGCTAACACATTAACATTCTGATGCATTTCAGGAAGTGTTACTATATATATATATATTTAAGCAGCATGTATAATATTAACTAGCAGATCAAAAATTCCTTTCAGTGACCTCTGGCTATACTCAGAGTTTGTTGATCCCTTGGATTGTTACAGATTTAGGTTACCTTACTCATTGGCTCCCAAATTCACACTGTGAATAAGTAAGTGCATCAGTGTTCATGTACAGTTGTGTATTTTTTCTATGTAATTTCAATTACAATTTTCAGAATAATGATTCAGAACTCTCTGGTGCCTCCCTAGAAGGATATGGCAAATAAAACACAGTCAAGGAGGCACAGTTTTCAAATATTCCTTAAACCTTCTCAAAATACTGTGCTTATGACTCTTACTCGTATACATGTTAGGAAACCTTATGGGTAGATATATTGCATATTATTGGCATAATTAACTGTCTTTGAGAAGCTGAAGCAATTTAAGCAAACTGTTCTGTAAGTTAGAATAGTCACGGTTGATTTAAGTGTGCTCTTTAGTATCTTCCAGTAAAACCTTCAAAAGGCAAATAAAATCATAGAACGTGTGATAGATGTCACAGCATGTTTTCGCTGAATGGATTTTAAATTATTATGCTATGTGTGACTGCATTACAGTATCTTCATGCCTTAGTTGCTAATTGAGCATCCTTAGTTTTATGACATAACAATTAGGTAAAGAACAATTTCATCTGACAAATAAATCAGCAATAAAACTGTTGGACAATGAGGACTCTACTTAAATCTTTCTTTAACCTGACAAATAACATCTTACTATGCAGTTGTTACAGGATATAAAAATACTTGGAAACTAGGAAGATGAGCCATTTAAATATTCTCAAAACCTAGGAAAAAAAACTAATAAAAACCAGAAAACAATTGTCATTCTCATAATTTAAATATACTTGTTGTCTTTTCGTAAGTTGAGTACAGTAATTAGAGCAAACCAGAAATCTGACCATCCTCTTTGCTAAATTTTGTCATACTGAGGTTAAATAAGACAAGTCTTTTGGTCTTTGAAGGCACTGGTATATCTTGACAGCTGTTAAAACCCTTTTACAGGGCTGTGACCATGATTTCGTACCAGTTCATACTAATGTTGTTTTGTATATAATACTGCAGTCATCCATGTAGGACGTCTAGATATTCTCTCTTCACTGAGATGAAGTTGTTTTGCATTTTTCTGTGTTTTTTTTTTTCTGAAACTGATTCTTTTTTCAAAATTGCTGTTGGGATTTTTTTTTTATTAGACTTTCCATAGTTACTTTGTGTATCTAACTTTTTCTTCTGATTCAAAGTGATTAATTGTCTAAGCTGGATTTATTTTGAGGTTTGGATTTTTTTCTGCTTTTCTCTCATCTTTTTTTTTTTTTAATTGGATCAAATAGTGCTTTACTGGAAAGCTGGTTCGAGCAAACATTTTAGTCCTTGTTTGTAACATTCTGCATTTGTTTACCCAAGCACACAGTTTTTTAAGCATACTGAGCATACAGAAAATACAGATTTCACCAGATTAGTGTACCCAAACCAAATTTTCTGCTTTTCAATTCTAAATCTAACCAAGAAAAATAGAAAAATAGATGCTTTTTAAAATTTATTTATTTATTTTTTTTGGCCAGTGTTGATTTTTTGTTGAAACCAGTGGGAATTTGGAGTTGCAAAATCTTGAGTAAAATCGTGTCCAGTGCAAGCATATGAGACTCATCTTTTAGAAAAATAATATTACATATGTTTTATTTAAAACATATACGTTCTTGATTTTTTTTGCTTATCTTGCTTGTAGATTGTAATTTGTTTTTTGTCTCTCTTCGCTGATGATATTAGTGGTAATTATTTACATTATTGAAACTGTTTCTTTAATTTATTAGTTAATGTAAATTGCTCTGTTTTTTCATACCAGAGCCTTCTGGCATCTTTGTGAAAAGCATTACAAAAGGCAGCGCTGTTGAACAAGATGGCAGAATCCATGTGGGAGATCAAATTATAGTTGTAAGTAAGCAAAGAGATGAAAAGCTTGCAAAGCTCTATTCTTATATGAGTTGTTAAAACACGCTTGTAAAATACTTGCTTAAAACATTTAAGATTGTCACTGAAGTGGTCAATCCTTTTTAACTGAGCCTTTAATTACATTAGCTTTCTGATTATGCTACATATAACTCACGTGTAACTTAATTTCTTAAGGAAATCTGCTACTGTGCACTTATCAGTAGGACCATTGAAACTGGTTCATAAAGGCAGAGTTTCAAAGTTTGATACAAATTATGGAACTATTTTCAAAATGATTTTTAACGTATGTTATTAAAATGTTATTAGGAATTTTGACTTTCTGAAAAAATATTTTCATACCTTACATCTGGTCTTGCAGATAGAGAAGGGGAAAAATGTGGTTTACTTAGATGTAGGGAACATTAAATAGTCACAGGTTATTTTTCATAATCTAACATCTAGAAGGATGCCAGAGTTGGAAGTAGTTCAGAAAAGCAAGAAAATGATTAAAGGTGAAAGTGGAACTGTTCTTTTTTCAGGAGCAGTTACAATAATGGAGTGTATATGTCAGATAGTCCCAAACAGTTACTGGAGTAAGGAGTTGTTATGCTCCTGGAAGGTAGTTCAGAAATTACTGGTTTGGAAGTGTGAGATTTGAGTTTACAGTAAGAAGAACAAAAAATTGTGTATGCTGGGGACAGTGGGATGAAATTGAGCAACTCTGGAGTATTCAGAAAACAAAACTGAATTAATGAGGTAAAATATCTAAAACTGTAGTCATTAAAATACTGGACTATAAATGACAACTGGGCAGCTGGTACAGTGCTTGATAGGGCAATTAAACTTCATTGTGTTCAGTAGCAGACTTCCCTGTGTCTGAGATTATTTGAGCCTAGAGCTGTGCTCTGTACTTCTTCCTGTTACAGTGAATGACTGTGTTCCTCCTCACCCCACTCTAGCTAGTTGTCCTGACCATGGCTCTATTTGTTTTGTTTATGTATTACTTATTTGTTCATAAAACTTTTTTTTTCCCCCCAAGTAGTTCCTACTTGAAGGTGGGGGTGTTGGAGTAATCAGGCAGGCTGTATGGGGCACCTTGAACAGTGCTTCCTGACTCTTCAGCTCTTCATGGCCTTGTTGTGACGGGCACCCAGAATACTTCTCCCCACTTTGCTATAGTGTTGACTCGTAGCTAGCTAATGTAGCTACCTAATGAGTGTTCAAGTGAAAGTGGTTAGTGTATTTAACCTTTGTTATGTCTTGCAGGTTTTTGTTCTGCTTGCTTTGTATTCTGATGCTGAGCACTGGAAGTATTGCTTTACTCTGGACACTTTATATCTTTCTGCTAATAAGCTATTTCATTCTGCAGGTGGATGGAACAAATCTTCAGGGTTTTACTAACCAACAAGCAGTAGATGTTTTGCGACACACCGGACAAACAGTTCAGCTCACTTTGGTCAGAAGAGGGCTTAAGCAGGAGAATTGTATTCAACCCCAGGAGGACTTGAATTCTGCTGTTGAAAGGGACTTAATGTTACAAACAGTGGACAGTAGCACAGCCAAAGGTAATTAAAATTGGCTTTACTTTAAATTTGGCTTGGAATATTTTTCTTCTTAATTACGAACTGGGAATAAAGTTGACTAAATTCTTGGTTGTGGGAAGACACAGCAGAAGCTGTGGAGCAAGATAAACAGCATGAGAACCAAGGACACCTCTAGGAGAAGAAAGAACGTCTAACGGGTCTGATAGGATAAGCACCTGTGTGAAGTTGAAGAGCTGTGTCGAGGTTGAAGAGTGTTTTGTAGAATGTCCTGTTGATATGTAAAGATGGATGGGAAAGTTGTAGGAGTGGATGGGAAAGCTAGAAAAGGAAAACTTGTGAAGGTAGAGAAGTGATATGAGAACTTGTAATAAACAATTTTGATCATTCACATCCGAGTCTGTGCATCAGACGCTGCACTCGGTTGCTGTTCCTGGTGCTCTAAATGAGTGAAAATTTGATCTGTTGCAGATTCATTAATCTTTTAGAAGCAGTGATATTATTTGTTACATTTTCAGAGTAAATATTGAAAGCTCTGCACTTCGCTATGAGCTGAAGTTCTTTAAGGCTTAGATCCTGTAAATCTTTGAATAGTAAGTAGGAAGGTAGTGTTTTATTCATGTGAAAAGGTGGTAGCAGTGTTGGAAAGAAAGCAGAGATACTCTCCACATTGGGAAAAATGAGTCATGTTTCCTTTTACTCTTCCATGTCTGTGTAAGAATCTTAGTTATGACAGGAGTGGCTTATACTTAAAAGTTATTAATAATCTGATAGGTCATTAATTATGTCTGTGTACAAAGTTCAGAAGGCATGGCAAATACTATTTTTGCTCATGATGAGATGTAATTTGTGAAGTTTAATCTTACACTGTGCGTATCTTGAAGTACAGGTGCCAGATCATGAAAGTCCATGTGTTCGAATAGAGTATCTACATGGAGGCTGGATGATAAATGGCTTCTTTTCAGCTACTTACACTGGGGGATGATATCAGTAGACATATACTACAACTCATAATCTGAAGCATAATACACAACTTGCATAAGGTTTTGAAAGATCTATTAATGTATTCTTTGTGTGGCATCTGCTCGTTCCTACCTTTAGCAGAAATTAGAGAGGAAATGCTTAGAAAGTGCTGTTTCTCTAGTCCAGAAGTTGTTCAAGACAGCTGACAGACAGCAGCATACCTAACAGAATTCTATAGCAGGAGAGATTTTTTAAAAGTGAGAACATTGTCAGCTGTGAAGTATTACATTCCTCAAGTCTATACCATTTTAATTTTTCAGTATCAGCTTCCTGTGCTTCATGAGAGAAAGGAGAGAAACAAACAAAAAACAACATAGGGTGGTAGAAAGGGACACAAAGAGAAGGCAAAAGATGAACAAAAGATAAAATACCTTTAAAATACAGTATTCCTTCTGGGCCCTTCATGCCATGTTCTGTTTGCAGACAGTGGATTCTCTGGTCCGGAGTCACTGCCCTGGGCATATCCATGAAAGTGATGAATGCATAAAATAGCTCAAAATTCCTTCTCTTCTTTTTCCAGATAACAGTGAAACAGAGCAGGGATCTCCATCGCAGCCATGCAGTGGCAGTGCAGTAAACATCAAAGAGGACATAAAAGAGCAAGAAACAGGTTCCCAGTGTTTGGTATTTTGTTCTGTAAAAATGCACTTGACTATACTTATATTAAGACCCAGTGTTCTGTGTGTCTTTTTGGCATGCATGCTATGAAACTGAGCGTGTACGTCTAGAAATTAACCACACACGAAAATGTGTACTGCTTGTGTGCTCTTGAGTGCCGTAAGTCAAATGCTTTGACAACTGCTACTACATATGTCTGAAAACAATGACATTTATCAAAAATTGTCACCTGAAACATTCTGCTTTTGCTACATATTTATCTCTTGTTTTAGTCTATTTGTATGTTTCTACTTGAACTTCTTCATTCATCTTTTTCACTTATTCCCTAAAATGCCTTTTGGAGACTTTATCCTCTTCTGTTAAGTTTGCATCTCACAGAGTCCCAAGCTTGTATTCATTTCAATCTATGTTCAGTGATAGCATTTAAATTCAGTCAGTTCTGAAGTACTGATAAGCTTTTTCCCATACCTTTTGTGGAAGTTCTTATTTTGTAGTGCTACTTTCTTTTCACAGTTAAGGCACTTTGCTGCATTTCACTTGGGGGCATATGTTTTTCAGATTGAGACAGCTGTGATGTACTTTCTAACATTTTCTTATATCCAGAACTTTGAGAGAAGCTGAAAAACATCCACCCATATGATTTTTTTAGTAGATATTTTTTGTGTATCTTCCTATAACTTCTGCTTTCCATTTTTCTAGGTAGCTGAAGAATTTGTTTTTAAGGCCTTTTCTTAGATACTTCAAGGTCTCTGCTTTGGAGGAAGTACTGTCATATGTAGCACCTATGCAGCTGGCTTTATTTTTATTAATATTCCTGAGCTCTGTTTAGATTTATGACACTGAGGCTGTTAATCACTTCAAATTCTTATGGAAAGTCACTGTGACTTCAGACCTTAATCTTTTAATGAAGATTCTAGTCTTTGTTTCCGGTGAGCATTCAGCCCTAAAGAGTTTGACTGCTTGACTGTATGCACAGCATGGGCTGAGGACTGTGAATGTGTAGAGTTCCATTGAATCTGCTGTACTGCTTAATCTAAATACTGGCTCTTGTTTGTCTGTTTCTTTGCTTATTTCCTGCCGTAGAATATAAGCAGTTTGAATGAGGAAAAAATGAGCAGGAGAAAATAATTTCCCTGTTTTTTCAGCTTGCAGATAAACTTTCATTCAGTTTAAGAGCTGCTGCATTGTTCTGTTTAGCCTGTCACTATATTTTTGGTAGCATGGTGATTCTTCTCTCCTCCTTCCATTCCAGTAGTGATTTCATTGTTGCTCTTTAGTGAATACTTAGCTAGTTACTTATTTTCATATGGGTGGTCCTAAGTGAATGTAATGAAAAAAATAATAAAAGCTGCCACATCTTCTTTCACTGCACTCTAAGGCCTACATGTTTAAAAGATCTTTAAGAGTCATGCTTACACTTCTGAAAATAACAGATTTTGTTTGAAAACTTCTTCCTTGGTTACTCTGTATAAAACATAGGGTCTGTCCGAAAGGAACAGGATTTAGTATCACATCTGTAAATATTTCAGCCATCCCACTGAATCGGTCTGATCAGCCCACATAAAGTCTGACTGAACAAATGTTTGAGGCATGTGTGTAACTTTCATTTACTTTGTGTCTGCTTGTCTTTCTGAACACTGGGGTTAATTTCAATGTTTCCTTTCTTCCCAGCCATTTAAGACAAATGTTTTGGTTGAATTTCCTCTTTCAAATTACATTCAGTTTTGGGGGCTGGGATGTTGCAAGTTGTGCATGTTGCAAATTATTTGCCACAGTTCTGCAAGTTTTCCCACTGGCAAGCCTAAACTCGATGAGACAAAGCATGTCAAGATTTTAGTGATATTTAGGAGAGTGCTGGCATCATGGATTCATTGTGCAGTCTTGCATGGTGCTTTATCTGTCTGCCTTAGCAGTGATTGAAATAAACAGAACATTTTAGTTTTTGTCTTAGTAATCTGAAATATAACTTATAGATTTCCAGCTGAGTGCTACAGAAGAAGCAGCTATGAAGGCAAAATGGCAGAGGATAATGGGGTCAAATTATGAAATAGTGGTAAGTAAACTGTAATTGTTATTAACTGTCCTTGTTAATATGTGTATAATGTATTCCTTTTAAAAAAATTATACACATGTCCCTTAATCTGTAAAGATGCTTTTATTTTCCATATATATATATTTTTTTTTCTATAGTGATGTTAGTAAAGTAATGTTTTGGTTTAACAGGTGACTGAGCACCACACAGCTGTTTACTTGTACCCCTCTGCCCCCTTCCCAGTATAATGTGGGAGATAACTGAAAAAGCAAAGTAGAACTCATGGATTGAGAAAAATAAACTATTTGCTAAGATAGAGAAAAGGAAAAGGATAATAATTGTGACAATTATATAAATGTATATAACAAGTGATACGCAAGCAATTGCTCACACTCCCTCACCAATGCCCAGCTAGCCGCAAAGCAGCAGAAGAGAGATGAATTCCCACTCCCTTCAAAACTCCTTCTGCATGAAATCATGTGGTACAGAATACCCCTTTGACCAGATTAAGTCAGCAGTCCTAATTCTGTTCCCTTCCAGCTCCTTTGGCTGTTTTCTCAGGATGGCCTTGGCTCTGTACAATGCTGCTTAGCAAATTATAAGCATTGGTGTGTTATCAACATTGTTTTTCTCCTAGAACCAAAAGATAGCATGGTATCAGACACTGAAGAAAACACTTCTGCCCCAGCTGGAACTAAGACAAATAATCACAAGTATCTTAGGTTACAATGCCTATTGTTTCACACATTTCCTGCCTTCGTGAGGGTAATGTGTATTAGACAAAAAGCAGTATTGGAGGTAAATTTCAATGCTTCCTTGATCAGCCAAAATTCAAACTAGATCTTGAAATCTCCTAGCCAGTTCTTCATCATGAATGAATTGTTCAGTATAATGATATAAATAATGCCTAGGATATTTGTTGCACGTACAGCTGGAACACAGTATCTGAGTTTAGAACTTAATCACGTCAGCGTATAATTTTGAAGTAGTCTCTGCAAAAATATGTACAATTAGATACTTTGTTGTTGCATACACTTGCATGTGCTGAAGTAATGTATGTGATTAAAGCTGCAGTTTTTACTGCAGGACTCTCATTTGATCCAAGCGTTTTTCCTATTATTATATAAATGCAAATTTGAGTATGCAGAGCCTCTTCCTGTTTTTCATGAATCACATTGAATTGGACTCTCTTTCAATTTGTATTCTTTTGTTTTTTTCTTGTAATTTTTGCCTCAGAATCTAAATCACCACCTAAAGGCAGGTTAAAGAATGGGTCTGTGGTGCTCACTTCTTATCCACACATTAGGCAATGTAGTTATTTTATGCCAAATAGGTTTTTATTTGTCATGATTCCTGGATTACACTCTGTGAATGTATAATGATAGTTTGCTTACCACAGTAGTCTAGTAGCTTGTGACTGCATAAACGTTCACTGAATGTGGCCTATAGATTTTAATTTTAATCTTGTGGATTTTTTTTGCCCTCTCAGTGCTTTTATTGTATTGGAAAGTATAATTTGGATTCTTTCTTTTAATCTGTTTCTACTGTTTTTCAACAGTGTTGTTGAAAGACCTAAGCTAAGAAGCATACATGTTCTTGCAGTCTAAAAGTCTGCATTAAAAATTGCAATATTTCTAGTTTCTCTTTTCTGAAGTAATGATTTCCCTGTATGTAAACAGCATCTGAAAGTTATGGATGTAGCTGCAAATTTGTCCAAAGCAACCTTTTCTTTTTTTTAATCTTAGGTTGCTGTGGTTAGCAAATTCAGTGAAAGCAGTGGACTAGGAATAAGCCTTGAAGCTACAGTGGGACATCATTTCATTAGATCAATCTTACCAGAGGGGCCAGTTGGACGAAGTGGCAAACTGTTCAGTGGTGATGAGCTTCTGGAAGTAAGAAAAAATTCTACTTTTTCTTGGTCTGCTTTTAGTAGGATTTTTGAGAAATTATTTGCTTCTCACTGGTTACAAGTTTGGGAATGTAGCACATTTACACTTCATACCAGCCATAACCAGAGTTGTTTCAGCAGTTACTTCACATGTTCTTATGCATCTTATTTTACATGTGCTTAGTTGCATATCTCAGCTCACAGCTGATTTTTTTCAGATTAAATTGAAGGCCAAGAAAGGAGAATATCTAGCAAAAACATTTAAGCTTACTAGAAATATCCCTTTACAGTGAAGAGAGTAAAACAGTGGTTTGTTTCCTTTTCTAAATTATTTTCTTAGAATGAAGATGTGAGTTTGCGTTGCGTGACTGGGAGAAATCAACATGATCCGTATGTTTTCGTGGTTAATATACCTGTTTTCATGCAAGTCAGCTAGTGTTGTTTGTTTTCATGTGTGTATGTTACATGCTTTACTCAGGTTCTATGAAGTGACAGAGTATGTGGTGTTTGTAAGATGGCATCCCACAATTTATAAGCCTCTCCAGCTCAAAACGTGTCTTGGTGGCTTGTTCTGAACTCCAAACTGAGTAGACGCTGAGGGTTGAAAATGTCCATTTGAGCTTTTTGTAAAAAATGTGTATGAATAATTTTAAAATAATCAGGTCATTGGTTTATGTTTTTCTGTTTTTTTTCATGTTTTTTCTCTGTACTTCTACTAAACACTGTGCATTCTTCATTTCTTGAGGTGAATGAGATCTCTTTGCTTGGAGAAAACCACAAGGATGTAGTCAATATCTTGAAAGAACTGCCAATTAAGGTGACAATGGTGTGCTGCCGGCCAGTGGCTCCCTCTGTCAGTCACACAGAAGTACTGGAGAGTCTAAGTCTATCTGAGGTTCAGCTTGCAGAAAAGGTATTTAAAAAAAGAGAAAAAAAAAAAAAATCCTAAGAGAAAGACTGTTTCCTTGAAGAAAAGCATGAGGAGGTCTTTTGTAAGATTAGAAATACCTCTTTAATATTTTAGGTCTTGGAACCAAATAAATAGAAAAAAGCAAACTGTATGTTTGGTCAGCCAGAAGATGTACATACTGGTAGGCCATGTGCAGAAGCCATTAAGGACACAGAGCTATCTACCCAGGTTACTTGGATTTCTTTCTACGGATGGGCTTTTTTAGAGTCTGATTACATTTCATCTGGTTTTGAACTCAACACAAGTTCTGGGTTGTGTTGAGTAGAAATGAACGTGCACTTCATGGCTGGCAAGCTTCTGTCACTCGTAAGTTAAAAGCTCTACACAATTTGATGTGATAAACATGTAGAAACAGCTTTCAGTATAACAAAACAACAAAACTGATGTGAAGGAAAGGCAGAAATTCTGACTTCTGGACAAGTCAAAACATTCAGTTGGTTTTTGCAGAGCTTTGTTATGAAATCAAAGGAAGATGTATATACATGTGTGTATGTATATACATGTGTTTCCGTGTATGTCCTTTTTTTTTTGCAAATGTTCTCACTCAGTGCTACTGCGTTTTGGTTGAAGCCTGTTTATAGGCATATCATTTAATAACAGATATTTTCTTTGTATTTGAGCCCGTATGTACTAACAAGATTTTCTGAATTTATTTGACAGAAATTCCATTTTGTAAATAATTTTACTGGGGAGTCCTGTCATATATTTGCAGCATCGATAATTTGTTTCAAAAGTATTCATTCTGTGCTAGACATAATCAGGCTTGTTTTCTTACTCTACGGAATGTTTGTACTTTCTCATTGTTTTGAGAAAAGTTATCTTCTTTCTCTGTGAATGTTTTCAGCAAGTTCACAGTTGTGTAATGTTCACTGTATTTTAACAGGCTCATATAGATCTTGAATTCACTGGCTCTTCGAACACAGAAGAAACAGCTTTGGAAACTTCTACAGCTCAGAGTATAGAAGAAATGCAGAACTCTTCTTTCACAATGTGGGAAGCAGAAGTACAGCATACTGAGCTGGAGAAAGGAAGCACGGGACTTGGATTTAGCATATTGGACTACCAGGTAACTTTTATACCTTTTTCTTTGAGTATGAAACAAAATATATTATTTGTGTCTCACAGTATGATGTAAACAAGTGTTTTAGTGGTAAATGTTAATGGAAATCAATACAGTAAAGCTAAATTGCTGTCCCTACTGGCAAGCATCTTACTAGCTACATTGCTTATTTCTTTTATTGTATTACAACTAATGATGGAGTTCATCTGACTAAGTCTGGAAAAACTTTTCCAACAAGCTGGCCAAAGTTATAAGGAGAGCTTTGATTTTGAAAAATAATGAGAGTTTTGAGTAACAGGGAGTTGCCAGGGGCTGCTGAGGAATTAGGAATCAGCAGAGTAATGTGTAAAGTGACTCAAATGAGTTAGGAAAAAAAAGGAAACAGTCAGTAGTGCAGATGAAGTGCCTCCATACCAATGCATGTAGTATAGGTGAAGAGCAGGAGGAATTTGAAGCTGCTGTGCAGTTAGAAAGCTATCATCTAATCGTGATCACTGGAAGTTGGTGGAGTGGGTCACACGATGGCAGCATTGTTTTCAATGGCTATAAACTGTTCAGGATAGGCAAGGAAAGAAGGAGAGGTGGGGGTTTTGCCCTCTGCGTTAAAAATGGATTGACTGCACAGAGTTGTCTTTGAAGAACAGATATGAGCTTGTTGAGAAGCTGTGAATAAATATTAGGGGCAAATCCAAACAAGGAGACTGCATAGTTGGAGTTTGCTACACACAGCCTGATCAAGTGGAGTCTGCTGGTGAAGCATAGTTAATCAGCTGCAGGAGGCATTGTGCTTGCAGGCTCTGATCCTGCGATAGTACCTCGGTCACTCTGATATCTGCTGGAAAAGCAGTACAGCCGGCTGTTGAGCAGTCTAGGAGACTCTCGGATAGCTTCTTAAGCCAAGTGATATATGGCCCCATCAGGGGTGCAGCTCTACTAGACCTGAAGCTTACCGATGCAGATGAAATAAAGAGGTGAGGGTAGGTGACTGCTTGGGCTGCAGCGATCATGCCCTTGTGGAATTCATGATCCTGAGAGATACGGGCCAGGTGAAGAGTAAAATGAAGATCTTGAATTTTAGGAGTGAATTTCCATCTGTCTAAAAAATCGGTTTATAGGAGTCCCTGGGAAATGAACTGCCCTCAGGGATAAAGGAGAGCAGGACAGGCAGCTCCCTAAGAAAAAGAGGTCTTAATCCCCATGTGTAGGAAATGCACAGAACACCAACATAGCTAAGTCTTCCTGGCTTCTTCACAGTCTCTGGTGAAGTTTTATTGTGGCTTCACCACAATACAGAGACTTTTTAGCAGGATATACACTGAAAGTGTCTACTGTTTCAGTGTGAAAGAAGGTGGAACTAGATTGACTGTAAGGGAAGAAATTTTTCATGAGAGTGCTATGACTCTGGAACAGGTTGACTAAAGAAGTTGTGGATACTTCATCATTGCAAGTGTAAAAAGTCAGATTTGATGAGTCTTTGGGCAACTGAAGTGTCCATTTTTCCAGTGGAAAAAGTCCCTGCTGGGGAATAGAACTAGGTGGTTTTTAAGAGTTCCTTCCAACCCAAACCAGTGTATGACTTTATGATTTTACAGGTTCAAATGGTAATGATTTATCCTGAAAAATAAATGAGTAAAATACTAGCATCTTGAGAAAGTTGACCCTTTGATGTGCTTCAGTTGTGATGATGTCTTAGAATATTCAGGCATCTTGCCATGAATTTTGCATCTGCAGTGAGGGTGCCCTTGCTTAGAGTAAGATCCAATAAAGGACTTAAATGCTTAAAGCAGGATTTACTAAAATATAGGACTGTAATTCTGAAATCCCACGCTTAGCTGCTGTCTATCTAGGATGTGCCTAGGTGTCCTCATTAGTTTTGTGTTTGACTTCAAAATTCCCAGTCGTCTCAAGCTGTGATTCTTATATCCCTGTATCAGAACAGCTGCATGTCTGTCTCCTGTTTGCATGTGGTCAGGTTCCAACAAATGTCTCACCTCTGTTTCCGTTGTCACTGTGAATATTTTTTAATTTCTCAGCAGAGTTAAGTAACTTTTCTTCTGGCCAGGGTAGGCTTTTGCCAGGGTGTTTTATGTTCTAACAGGTCTCTGCTGGGTCTTGTAATTGATGAAAAGCACAATGTGAGATCACTAGTAGGTAGAAGTTATTCCTATGGTGCACTCCTTAGAAAACTATAGTTTAAACATAGCTTAAACTATGCCTCATCAATATTTTGCATTTGCATGCAGGTAAATGTGAAGAACGAGAGTTTTCTTAATTTGAAATATGTAGGAATTGTCACGTATCTAAGTATATGGAGGTTATGGTTTAGTGTGTTATTCTTAATGCTCTGCAGCGAGACTCCATAGCTGAGCTGAGTATTTGGAATGTGTATCAGCACAAAGCAAAACATGCTTTTGCTTCAGACTCTTCTGAAGTATAGGCACAAACTGTCATTGCCTGTGTGGTTATTATAAAGGTTGTTGGATATACCTTAAGTTGTACATATTTTGCATGTTTGAGTTTTATTATATCATACAGGACTCCATGGCTTTCTGAAACATACTTACCTTCGTTTTTTGTCTATTTATAATAGCTGTGATTTATCCTGTGTTCTCACCTGTGAGATGTAGTTTCATCTTTCATTTCAGTTTGTCAGTGAAAGTTCTGTTTCCATCTAATAGTGTGAACAATAAGCTAAATTAGCAGTAAGGTTTCTGTTTATTTTTTGCTTTATCCATCACATATTTTTAATAAATTTTCAATGGATGTTGACTTTAATCAGGGCTATATTTATGCTCATATATTTATCATGTTTTATACAACGACAGGCCTTTGGGAAAGTTTACATTCTTTATGCCAGGAAGAACTTGAGGGGTGTAAGAATCAGAAAAGAAACAATGGAAATTTTTCTTGTTTGTTTTTTCAAAAAATATGATGTGCAATGTCATCTCAAATTGCATTAGAGGTAGTCTTTAAAGTGTAGATGAATCTATCAGTGTTCAAGTCCAAACATAATATCTACTTGTATATCAACTTATAAAGCATTTCATTACGCCATGGTATTTTCCTTACTGCATTAATTGCCCCAAATTATCAGGGGTGGTCTTAGCTTCCTTCCCTCCAGACCACCCTTGCTTCCATCCTTCACTTTCTCTTTCACTTTTGCTTTCAGCAGTTTCTAAATTCTGCAGTTTGGGATGCTGCTTTTATGGTGTGTGTCCTTTTTGGAATTGGCATTTTGGCGTGGAAAATTACTGCAGTTGCTTCCCCGTTTGTGGGTGTTTGCTTTTCTCTTTCCTTTGCTATCAGTAAAGCTTGTACAGTATTACATTTCTCACGGCTTTTCTGTGCCTGCAACTGAATTGTTTGAAGCAGTGGAAGTTATCTGCATACCAGTGGAAGTTGCCTGCTTTGACTTCAGCAAGGCTTTGGATACTGTTCTACAACATTCTGGTGTCAAAGCTGAGAAAGTGTGGGATAGATGAGTGGGCGGTGAGATGGGCTGAGAACTGGATTCTATGATCTCTAGAGGTCCCTTCCAACCCCTACAATTCTGTGATTCTGTGAAGTTTTAACAGCTACTGGTTTTCCTTGTCAATGTAATTCTATAACAATTACATACGTTTCTGCACCTGTTATAATTGTTATATCAGAATCATACCTTCACATTATTAGAGCTCAGTGTTAGTTTGTAAAAAAAACGTGCATTGGAGGATGGGAATTTTAATAAAGGTTGTGGGTTTTTGTTTTGGTTTGGTTTTTGCTTTGTTTTTTGGATAGAGAGCTTCACTTTGTTTTAGGTGTGCACAAGCACTTTAGTCCTTAGAAGTGCTTTTCCAGCTGATTGAGATCTGGTGCAGTGAAATACAAGGTGATTTTTGAAATGAGCCCTTTGTTCCACTAAAGAGCATATGTGAACATTTCCCCAGTTTGCACTGTATTGCTGTATTTACAGACAGCTGGGTATAAGAGAGAATGAAATCTGCAGTGTCATTGCAATAGGAATTATTTGCATTTTTAGGTTTGATTACTTGTTGCAGTGCAGGCTGCACTCTGTGATGAAACAGCACCTAGAAAAAAGTAATAGCTTTCATAATTAAGAATGGTAAGTAAGAGGAGGCATGAATGTATAGGTAGCATGGACTGAGGTCTGTACTTCTGCAGAGGGTTAATCTAGAGCAGAGATGTGCTGGCAGTCATTAAGAATACATGCATAGGAATTGTCTTACCGAGACAAAAAGGATTAAATAAAATGAAATGTCTTCCTTTTTACTTCATTAGGATCCTGTTGACCCTTCAAAAACTGTAATTCTAATTCGCTCATTAGTTCCTGGTGGTGTGGCTGAGCAAGATGGCAGACTTTCTCCTGGAGATCGACTTATGTTTGTCAATGATATCAGCTTGGAAAATGGCAGCCTAGAAGAAGCAGTACAAGCGCTGAAAGGAGCCCCAGCAGGAACAGTTAAAATAGGAGTTGCCAAACCTCTGCCTGTAAGAATTTGGGAATTTTATGGGTACTTTTCCTGTCATTTAAGCTGGTATATAATGATCCTGTTTTCTGTATACACTTGGTGTGCTTTGGAATACAGCTGGATGACGCAGAAAAATGCAGATTCTTTTTTTTTTTTCCTGCAGTTAGGACTGGCCTGTGTAGTTTATGGATGGTATGGTGAAGCAGGACCTAGTATGTGGGGTCTTCTAGCTAATAAAACTGTGAAGCATCTTATAATCAGCACAGTCTTTTAGGGCTGCTATTTGCTAGGCAGAATTTTGTGTTCATTACTGGGTTTTCTAAATGTGTGATGATATAAAGTCACTTCTGTTGTTTTCTGGAATTTGGTTTCTGTACTACATCACAAGTTTTGGCCTGCTACAGATATACAGGCTGTACACTTTGTATACAGAGAAAGATGAATACTTTTCAGATGCTTCAGAGCCTACTGGATAGCTTGGTACAGGTATAAATAATTCCGGTATTGGTTTTGAAAAGTTGTCTCTAGCAGTTTGAAGAGTGACACTGAGTAACTGCTTTCCTTCAGCCATTCTGAGGCAAAAATACCTAATGAGTTTTAAGAGGAGATGATTAACCTTAAGATTTGGATTGTGTGTTGTTTTTTCAGTGGTAAAAAGGATTATATCTAGAGACCTATGCTTACTAAGGCAGCATGTCAGTAAGAATGCTGGGCAATTATACATCCAGGCATTTTGATAATTCAGCTTTTACTTTCTGTCCAGCCTAGAGACCTCATTTTTCCTCCATACATAAGTCTTCATATCCTTTCAGATCTGGAGGTGTCACATTTTATAAATGAACAAATGAACAAATTTACAAATGAAGGAGAATGTGGAGGATTGCTGGGATAGTAAACATCTAGTTCTAGATTATATAGGGACGCCTGGTACTTACTAAACTCTGTAACAGTGAAATCTCACGTCATTAAATTAAAAATCTACTGGGCTACCATCTTATCTTCCTGAATTATCTATAGTAAACTCAACTGAAGTTGAGTAGTGTCTCTGCTGTACTGAATTCAAATCAGTAGAATGGCATTGATTATAACTGATCATTACCAGAAGCAAAAATTTTTCTTACTGTGATGTGCAAATGTAACTTCATTGTAAAAGCAGAGAGGGAAAAAAAGGGCTAACAGTGAGTCAATAGGTAGTTACTGAGGTGCATGTGTTTGGGGCTTATGTGGTGTGAAGGTTACAGATAGCCTGGCTGATTAAATTGCTTCTGTTGTTAGGTGGACTCCAGCGGAGCTGGTCTGGCTGTTGAACCCATCTTTGAATCTCAGTTTGCTACGGAGAATTTAATATTTCTGCCTTCATCACCAGTTACGTCTGGCAGCTTCTGTAGTGAGGATTTCAACTTCAGGTTCCCTTTTTCAACGTCAACTCCCAAGGTAAAAAGGAATATGGTTTTATCTTGCTTACGAATGTAGAAAGGCTCAGTGTTCCTCTGTGCCACTGTATTACTAAACATGAATGCTTCGTGTTGTTCCAATTCCATCTGCACCAACATTTGTTATAAGTTTAAAGTCTAGCTTTCTTCAAAATAGTATTTGAGTCTTTTGGTGTTGTCTGTATGGGAGAGAAGCAGTGGAAGGTTGAAAACTGGGGCTGAGCTTTGTATAACCAGATAAAGTACTGTGAGATATTTGTAATGTTAAAGCTGCAGTGATCGGTCTTCTGCGGAAACATAATTGGTATTTTTTGAAAGCATATTAAAGAATGATAAAATAAAACACTTGCATAATTCTGCAGTATTTTAGATATAAAAAGATTAAATTTTTGTCCTAAACTTTGCTTTTTTACTGCCCAATAATTAGATATTTACTAATTAATTTACCGTGTTCTTGAATGAATTATTATTTTACTATATTTAAATAAAAGCCATATCAAAATTCTGACTGCTGATCATTTATATTTCAACTTAATAAATGAAGTTAAGGTTCTTAAGACTATTACTGTCTTTATTCCTGTTGGTCACATACCCATGTGATTGTTTGTATCAGAATTGGCTTTATTTCTCTTAGTAGCTTTTCATTCTCCTTTCTCTTTTCAATCTGTAGATTTACTTCTGTAATCCAGAGTCTTCTGAGTCGTTTTTCTTAGCACTGATGGTCTTTGAAAGCAACGCTGTAGGAATTTCTTCTAGGTTTTGCAGTCAGTGGTCTTGAACAGAGTAGTTTCTGCTTTTACCTTCATGCCTCTGCTACAGTATCTTCCTTTATCCCTTACCCTGAGTATATTCATCCCTTGCAACGCTCTGATTGAAAAGCTAAATTCATCTTCTAATGGCTTCTTCCAATCTACAGAAGAGCACATCTCTGCTGTGCCAGTGAGGCAGATTGTGCTGTTAACCCTGTAATTGTTACTTAAATGGATTATGCATTTTTCATGCTGAGAAGCATTTAATAACATAGGCGCTCGGTTTACATAATATATCATGTTGAGACTTTACCAAGTCTGAATTAATTTTTGATATTGACTTAAAGAAGGATTTGGTTTCCATTTCTTTCTTCTTCTTCTTCTTCTTTTTTTTTTTTTTTTTTTTTTTTTAAGATTAGAGTCCTGAATTTCCACAGTTCTCTTTGCACCAGTAAGAAGAGTTTGTTCTCTTCAAGTAAGATTTAATAGTGTGCAATTATGAAGTGCTTCAGAAAGTGAACACAGTAAGGAAATCAATTTGTAAAAGAAGAGTTTGGAAGCAGTAAAATGTAGTAAAAAAAAAAAAAAAAAAAAAGGTGCCATTGGATGCTATGACGAATACTGAGATATTTGAGCTATTTCTAACTTGAGGGGCAGTTGAAGTACAGATTATGAATGCCTTTACCATCAATTTAAAGATAGCTGACAAGAAACAATTTTAGGTCAAAGTAATGCTCTTATGGGGTCATGTGCAGCTGTTGCTACAAATTCCTGACATTTTGTTTGTCTTCAAAATTAAAAGCATTGGCTTTTCTTTAAATGAAATAAATTTTAAAAGGTTATATGTTGCTACTTTAATATGCACGTATGACATAAGGAAAAAATGTTGAAAACTGTCTGAGTCTTTGCAGTGAATATACTCTCAGTGATCTAAAAACAGATCTGAAACAGAGTTAAAGGTGTATGTCCTTGGCTGTCTTTGAAGCCTTATGAGTTCATTTAAATAGATATAGTTCTGATGTTCTGATTATCAAAAAGTAGGAAACTTCATTGATTACATCGTGCAGATCAGTAGTATTTAGGCCTTGCTCAGTTATTTTTTCAGATGTTACTTAAACCAGTTGTGTTATTTACAAATGGTCCATTTTTGGTCTGGTCTAGGGACAGTGTAAGCATGTAGGTATTCTGTCAAAGAAAAAAATTCCAGGGCTGTGGGAGAAAAACAATACAAAATATCCCCAAATCCTGTGAATTTTGATTTAATGTATTCTGGAAAACAAACTGGAGAATCATGTTTTTCTCACTTTATGGAAATGTAATAGAGGACTTAAACGGATCAGTGGATAAAATAGTTAGACAGATAAAGGTAGAGATTCTTGTGACTACGTTTGCTGTATTTCTGAGAAGAATATGTAACAGTGACGTAGAGCCTTTGCATATAACCTCTTAATCCTTAATGCATCTTCTTAATATGTAATGGCCTATGTGTTTTTAAAATTAATTACTTTGGAAACTAAGGAGGATTTGAGTATTTTTTCAGAAGCTTGTGATTATTGAAATCCTTTAAAAATACTTGAAATGGGAGATCAAGTAATCTTGAAAGTCTAAGCAAGTTTGATGTAGAGAACTTAGTCTTGGTATGGCTGTTTTGGATAATGACACTAGCAATATGTACTGACTGCTAAACTTCTGTAACTATGTCATTTCATTTCAGAGCTGTCACACTTCAAAACTTCAAAACTTAAGTGTTCATTCATTTGCTGAGATTTAACTGAGTTTTTACTATTCCCTCCTTGTACAGAAGGGACATTAAAACAAACAAACAAACAAACATAAAAACATTTCTTCTCAGTTACATGGATAATCAGACTGTATGATTGTTCTATAAATTGTTTGAAGTTGCTTTTAATTGGAAAGTGATTTGAGAATAAAAACTTTGGTCTTGCAAATTTTTTCTACCTGAGAAAAGACAGCTGTACTCTCATTTTAGATTGCTGAAGCTTGTTAAGTCTCATTTGAGAGTAAGTTGACATTTCTTTGCTGAGTTTGTGAAGATTTACTGACTGACACATCAATAGAATTTCAGCAGTAACTTCGTCTTCATTGATTCGTGGTATTATAAAATGGAATAATTTGTCCCAGAAATCAGATAAATTCTGTAGTAAACTGTGTTTAGAAATCTGCTGAGAGTACTCATGTTAGAACTAATATGTTTAAATTGTGAGATTAGATTCTGTGAGATTAGTTTCTATTTAAGATTCACATTTTAGTGTACTCAAAAGAATGTTGATCATTTATTGCCTCCTGTTTTCAACAGATTACTGGAGAGGCATATTTGAGTTCTGCAGATGATAGTCATATGTCTACCGAGAGTACGTACAATATGGATGTGACTGAGAGAGAACAAAATACTACAGAGACAGACGGAAGCACGGAAACTACAGCTACTTTTGCTGATGAGACTTTTCCGACTGAGTGTACTTTTGAGGTCAAACATGTGAGTGTTCATTTTCAAAATATAAGTGAGAACATAACAGTTTGAACTGAATCTCTGACAACAGAAGAATTTGCAAAAATACTAACACACAGCTTGATGCCACTGGAAAAGTAAAGATTTCTTTTTTTTTTTTTTTTTTTAAACCCAGAAAAACTGGGTTTTGGAAAGGCATTATGAAACCATTGAATGTCCTTCTGAAATTGACACTGATCAGCAACAACTTGTGGCTCTTTGACTGTAAATGTGGAAGCTCGCATCCAAAACTTAGGAATTTAGTAGGCTTAGCCAAAGAGATAATTTATAGCTTCAAAAAAGTAATCTCCCAGAGACTGGAGATAACGCGTGTATTTAAGTCTGTTCATACCTTGCGGCACTAGTCAATGCTGAAGCGTAGTGTTGGGCAGACTGGGGATCCAGGGCAGGGCTTTCTGTTAAGTTCCACAAAGAAATGGGCATATAGAGGAGGTTCATAGCTGAAAACCAGGTGTGGAAAACCAGTGGGAAGTGGTGTGAAAGTCTTACATCCAGGTGCTCATGCAGAGTTGCGCAGTTCATCTCATACACGGTCTAAGGCTGTGCAAGTAGTGTTCCCTTATAAGACAGTCACTATTCAATTCCATTTCAATTCTTTCCCTTCGGTGTTTAAAGCAGTCTTAAAAGAGTTATAGTTTTGTATTAACTTCATTACTTTAGTATTAGCGAATTCTCAGGTGTCTCAAATGTATGAGTCAGAAAGCCACTGAATTCATCCCACTAGTTTTAAGAGAGTAAATTGTGTCCCTAAATGAGCAATGTACTTTGCAATAGATTTGCTTTATCCCACAGTGAAAACACATACGTCAGTTTGATCTTTAATGGAGTGACCATATAGGGAATCTGTATTAATTATATTCATAGCTTTGGTAAAAGGTAAGATGAACTGAAGTCTGTGTCCATGCATACTCTTATGTCTGTATTATGAACTGACGTTATTTTCCTTTGTGTTAGGATAAAAGAACGTTCGTGGAATCTAGCCTTTTACTGCCTGTGGAAGAAGTTTTCAGAATCGTAAATCCAGTGAAAAACATGTATGAGGAGACCATCACTATTGCAAAAGGCAATTCAAGTCTAGGTAAAATAACTTTCATGTTTTTTAACCTTTTAAGAACATGGGATCCTTCCTTTCTCTTTCCTTCTCTTATATTTCCCATTCTAATAGTAAAGACTAAACATTTTCATTTTAAACGGAAAGCATAACATAGTATTTCTCTTTGCTGCTTTTGTTCTCTTTGGCTATGATGGCAGTGAATCCACTTGCTGTCATCTTTAACAGAAAATAGAGTGCTGTTCTCACTGATAATTTTTTTTTTTCCATGAAGGAATTTGGTTGATCCTAAATATTAATAATACAGTTTTAATACATTGTCATTTAATACAAAACCATTAATACATTTGATACAACTGTCAATGCTCAAGTCCTGGGTACCTGCCCAGAAGAAAAGAAGAACTACATCCCCCGGGGGACTTTGCTGTCACAGAGAGGAGATAGAACTCCTGGCAAGGTCACCTTATGCACTCTTTTTCGCCTGCCCTTCGTCGTGGGCGCTGCTCCCATCTCCCTGCTGCTCAACTGCACTGATAGGCCAGGCAAAACAGACAGCTGCTTAACACCTTCTGTGTCTACAGCAGCTATTCCAAAAGCCCATCGATATGCTTTGGGATCCTTAAAGTATCCCTGTCTGAGGTAATCAATACCAAGTATACTTGGAGCCCCCGGGCCAGTTGCAATAGGGTGCTTTTGCCAGTCTTTACCAGTGAGGCTGATTTCGGCCTCCAACATAGTCAGCTCTTGGGAACCCCCAGTCACTCCATGAATATACATTGATTCTGTCCCTGGGTGACTCGAGGGCATTGAAGTGCACTGTGCACCAGTGTCCACTCTGTTACCACCATGGATCCATCAGCATCAGGCACGGTAGACAGTTTGTCTATCATTATATCTTCTTGTTTGCTCTCCATTCTGTTCAGCTTTTCAGCTACCTTTGCAGTGACTGAAACACAAGCTCATAGAGGGCTTAAATGTAACTCAAAGTCTTGAAGTTTATTAATCAGTTCAATTATAAGGGGTCTTCTTTCCCCTCTGCCATACATTGCTGCAAATGTACCGGTGCACCTTTCTGGTGCAGTCTTGTGAATGTATGCCACATGTTTGGTGTATACCTGACTCTCTCAGGATCATGCTTTTGGTCTGGCTCATCAGGAATGAAATCGGGGCTATGCAGTGTTTCCACCACAGCATGTTCTCTCAAATAACAGATGCCTTTTTCTATATCAGCCCATTTCTTTTTCTCAGGCATCAGATCGTCTTTCAAGGGGTAACTTTTTTTTACAGCTAACAACATCCTCTTCCAGAGGGTGAAGGCCTGGTTCTGGCATGTACCAATGCCTCTGTCAATGGCTGAGTCCCTAGCAATGCCACCCAGTTGGTGAGCTTCTCTACTATCTAGCCACACACTGTTGGCCCCATTGTCCCAACATCGAAGTAACCAAGTGGCAATAGGCTCATTTGGGTGACGTGAGAAGTCTTTTCTCAGACTTCGAATTTCATTCATTTTCAGAGATCGATCAACAATGATAACGATATCTTGTTCACCTCTTACTCTTTCAGGTCTTCTTGTTACCCTCGTAGGCATTGGTGACCATGGTCTTACTGAGGTCCCTTCCCCTGGACTCCGGGGTGCTTCTCCTGGATCTCGGAGCCACTCCTCTGGACCTATTTCCTCCTTTTTCTTCTGTTCTGAGTTGAGATTCATTTTATTTTCCGTCCTCTTACAGGAGCAACTGACATCACTTGTGGTGCCTCCTGTGGTTGGTCAGGTTGGTCAGTTCTGATGCTCTCATCCTCTAGCTCCGCTTGGAGTCTGTCTTGTTCAATTATGAGAGTATTCAGTTCAGATTGGAGGGTGTCTCACTCAGTTTGGAGGGTGTCGAGTTTGGATTGGAGAGAGTCTCACTCGGATTTGAAAGTACCTCATCGAGATTGGAGATTCCTTCTCTCAGCTTGGAGATTCTCTCCTTCTGCTTGGAGTCTTTCTTTCTCAGCTCAGAGACACTCTTGCCAGGTTTTGAGATTCTCTCTCCTGGCTAGGAGACTCTCTTTCTTAACCCGGATATTTTCTGTCGCCTTGGAGACTCTTTCTTTGGATTTGGAGACTGTTTCTCAACTAGGAGACTCTCTGGACGTGGAGATTCTTCCTCTCGGCTTGGAGTCTCTGCTGGAAACTCTCCTTTTCAGCCTGGACACTCTCTCTTTGGGATTGCAGGGAGTCTGTCTCGATTTGGAGGGCATCTCTCTCGGATTGAGGATATCCCTCTCAGATTGGAGGTCTTTTCTCTCAACCAGGAGACTCTCTTTCTCAGCCTGGAGATTCTCCCTCTCAGCTCTCAGACATTCTCTTTCAATTTCACAAACTCTCTCCCTCTCTGGGATACTATTGAATAAGGCCCGACAAGCATTAGCCAGGCCCCAAATCATTTGTGCCTCCTCAGATCTGCTTGAGCCGCAACATCCATGTCTCAAATAAATGTTTAAGCTCTCAGGGTCTTTCAGGTGTTCAGGAGTAAAATTCCATGACACCAAAGATGTCCATCTCTCTAAAGTCTCTCCCAAGCCTTTCCACGCTCCCTGCCACTCAATATCCTCTGGTTTTGGGAAAGACTTCCTCAGAATACAATAAATGCAAATACTGACTGAAATGATGTAGATTCAGGGAGATTAACAATGCAATCAGGTGAGCATTCAGAACCTGCATAAAGGATTTAAAGGAGAGACTGGGAGCCCGCTTAAAAATCCCAAGTTGTGTGAAATTAGCAGCTCCCTCTGCAAACAGGTTTAAAAGAGAAAGCAGAATCTTTTTTTCTCTCTTTATAGAAGCAAGATAGCAGTGCTCAAAGTTTACAAATATCCCAGAATATTGGCAGTCCACCTGGACTTTCATGGTCAAGCTTCCAGTGAGCACCGGTGAAAAAGATAAACTTTCCCAACGAAGCTCTCTGAGAGCAGAGAGAGATTCTAAAAAGCTAAAGCAGCTGTTGCCTGCATTCTCCACCAAGAATGTAAAAGGTTTACGGGCTGGTTCAGCCCTGTTCCACGATCAGCGGGGCGGAGGGATCCGCAGATCCATGCCTCCGGAAAAATGGAAACAGTGGACCCCAAAATAATTAAAAAAACAGCGGCAACGATCTGAGGAGAAACAAACTAATTTTCTAAATATAGGTGGCAGAACATTTAAGCATTGGGAGAAGCATTTGGCAAAAGCCACCTGATTGGTCAGTGCTAGAAGATCGATCAATCGAGGTGGTGCTGGTAGCTCCCTAAATACTGTCAGGGGACATAAAGTCCCTGTAGTACATGTAAAGAACATGTTGGGAAAAGCGGTTTGGGCCTTTCCAGCTTGTGGGAAGGGTAAACCTCTTCGTGGAACTGTTTTTGCCCAGGAACCTGGGTCCACTTGGTGAGTGATGCAGAGAGACGGGGATGTTCAATGTGTACCCCAAGGGAATTTGACGTTGGGGGAGTGCAGTCAGGCTCTGCAGATCCCTCCACCCCCCTGGTTGTGGAACCGGGCTGAACCAGCCTGTAAACCTTTAATATTCTCTGGAGTTGTATACCACATTGTATGCAGGTACCAAGTACATATTTCTATCAGTGTTTTCAATTGATTGTATATACCTATTGGTCCAGAGGGGTTTGGCCTCTTCTCCCAGGCAACAAACAGGACCCAAGGAAATGGCCACAAGTTGTGCCACAGGAGGTTTAGATTAGACATAAGGAAAAGCTTTTTCTCTGAGTGAGTGGTCAGGCACTGGAATGGCTGCCCAGGGAAGTGGTGGAGTTGTTGTCCCTGGCAGTGTTCAAGAGGCGCCTGGATGAGGAGCTACGAGGTATGGTTCAGTTTGTGGTAGCGATGGTGATGGGAGGACAGTTGGACTAGTAGGTCCTTTCCAACCTTGTGATTCTGTGATTCTGTGATTCTTTGATCTACAGTGGAAAGGCACAAGATGGGGCCAGTAAATACTGTATTTTGAGATGAAAAAGCTTTGATCAAAGAGCTTTATATTCATATGTAAACATGAAATCATCTTGTTTTCTGAGTATAGTCAAAATTAAGCAAGCTGTTCAATTTCTTTCCACTGATTTTCACTTTATCTTAAGTTTCAGTATTTCTGAAAAGATCCGATAATGAATATATTTATCTATAGTGTTTTTAATTCAAAAATACCATTTTGTGGAGAATCTGCCATTTTTAAAGATTTGCAATCTGCATCTCCCTGAACATACTGATCAAAGGTGTATTGTGGTATTGATAGGTTCAGTAGGTTGAAGCAGTTTTTGCTGTCCTCTTCAGGTTCCTGTAGTGGCTGTGGAGGCAGCGAGGGTTGGGTGGGCATAAGCACAGGAATCTCATAGCCAGTCAGTGGAAGGTTTGGGGCAGGAGACAATGCTTCTCCCCTCCTGACTTAGGCCAGAGTGTTTGTTTTGTTTCAGAGTACAGGTGCTTTTCCTTCTCGGAAGACTTTCTGGCTTTGTCAGAGTGAAACATAGTTTAAGTGTTGGCTATTTGCAGTGGCTTTAAATATACTCAGAGATGTACTGTCTGCAGAAAGCACCCTGACAGAAGCCCTTGAGCCCTTTTCCATAAATTGCCATGGTTCTGAATTTCCTTACCTTCTTTTGCTGAGGTGGATGATATGTCATGGTACTGTAATACTGCGAGCACTTTTGCATAGAACTTGTCACAGTTGACAGTCCCTGGCAAATCATAAATTTTAAACTCCAGTCATTTGAAACACCATGTTCTTGCATCTGTTTAATAAAGTCCCATCATGAAAGTGGTTTTGTAGTTTTTCAGTTTTTCCAAAAGATAAAACATGATTCTACATACCGAAATAGAGAGACATGTATATTCCTTTGTCTAAGAAGCTTTTGGGGTAGTTTTTTGATAGCGGGGCCACCTTCTTATAGCTTGGATAACAATGTTGATCTCAACTGTAAGTAAACATGAGGAACCAGCACTATTCAGAGAGTTTATATTTATGGAAATCTAAAAAGCATAAGTGAAAATCTTGTTTAGTTTCGTTCTTTAAAAGCTAGCAGTACTTTTATTTTTTTTTTTTTTTCCTCTGAGACAGTTGTGTAGGCAGATGTTTACTTGGTTTGCTGAGCCTGGATAGTCTCTAGGTTGCAGTTGTTTTCTAAACTTTTCAGCCAGTTCCTGTTCTGTAGTCTGTCTCCCAAGGTCTACATTCCTGGAGTCAAGTGGTCAGTCTTCTGTAGCCATGTTTGTATATAAATGATCAGAATTTTCTCTTATCAGTATCTTTGGAAGGTTTGCTGTGGTTAACTGTTGCTTTGGAGATGATCTTCCTTCCAGTCAATCTAGACAAGATGGTAAGGAATTGCAAAAATAGAATTGCCCTCCCATTACTTACTAACTTGTGGTTTACATCAAAAGCCAGGAGAACCCAAGAGGAGTGCTCACTGCATCTTCCTTCAGCAAATTCTGCTCTAAAAGGCACTTTTCCTTCAGTATCTTTTTCTCGTAAGGAAAAGCTTTCAACATTCATCAATGCACACGAAAGAATAAGAAAAGCTTCTTAGCGTTAAGAGTGGTAAGCCCACAGTAATATAAAGGGAGAGAAATCTGTTTTGGGTCTTAAGGTACCTTTTGCCTTTGTGAAGAGCAGTTGTTTGGTTTGTTTGTTTTTTTTTAGAAGTGTCATCATGAGTACCAGCTGCCCTGTAGGCAGTTTTTGTCTTACTTCCCCTTAGTGAAAAGAATGCAGAGTTAAATGATGCATGTAAATCAAGAGACATAACATCTTGCTGCTGCACCACAGGCAGGGTTGTCATGTACACAGAATAAAGGACTGTATCTATTAATAGTAAACAGGCTATTGCAGAAGTTAGGATGCTCTTCTGGGCCTAAGCAACTGGCTGCTTAAATTTTTGAAGAAAATTAAGAATTGTATTGCCCCATGCTTATAATTAATTTTTTTTTTCTTTTCTTTCTTTTTTTCTGAAAAGAGCCATCAGAAAACTGAGATGTGGCAAATGAACTTGAGGAACCACCCAGAGGGGTTACAAGCTTAACTGTTTTAGGAGCGATTTTATTGCTTTTATGAGATCTATTTGATTTTTGGTTTATTTTCTGCTTAAATATTCCACTGCTTTTTACTTTTTTATATTCAACTTGATATATGAAATTACATAAGGTAAAGTGAAGATATTGTGAATGTGATTTTTAACTCTTGTCTCCCTTTGGAAAGATGGGAACACAAGGAGAATAAGGACAGTGTTGGGCTTGTTGAGGTTGGCAGGTCATGTGGCTGTCTTATGCCTTCCCAGTCTGCTATCACTTCACTTTCCCTTGTCACCCAGAGTTAGGGCTGGAAGAAGATACTAACGCTCACCTGTCTCACGCCTTTCTCACTCTAGGGATGACAGTAAGCTCTGACAAAGATGGCACAGGAATGATAGTTCGTAGTGTCATCCATGGAGGATCAATAAGTCGTGATGGACGGATTAACGTGGGAGACTGCATCTTGTCCATTAATGAAGAATCAAGCACTAACTTAACCAATGCAGAAGCCCGAGCTATGCTAAGGAGACATTCACTCGTTGGACAAGAAATGAAGTAGGTACAGCCAGAATATTGACTCTAGTAGGAAAAGGCTAATAATCAAAATTTGTCTAGATTCATGCATATTTTCTAAATCCGTTTTTTTTGTTGTTTTTACAGTGTGCATTTAAGTTACCATTTCAGCAAATTATTTGCTATGAAATTACAGCTTCATGAATTTGAAAGTTAAAATCACTTGTATAGTTTGGGTGTTCTTTAAAAAATTAATTCTGTGATTAATTAACCATCTTCATTACTACCTTTGCGTGGCTTTATTGAAGTAGTAGGATTTGTTAGAGTTTTGCATTTACAATATGGCACTGCTAAACAAATCAAGCATTTCCTCAGATATATTTTTGCTTCTGAAATGTCAGCTATCTTGGCCATTGCACAGATGTCTCCATCTGATGGAAATGATGCTTGTAGTGGATTTTGGTTTTGGCTGCCAAACAGAAACTATAAAACCCAATCTTAATGTGGAAAAGCAATATTAAAAAAAACATTAGTACATCTGTGATTAAAAAGTGTGTTTTGTGAAGTCTCTTCCAAGTTCTCATTAGTACATATGAAGGAACTGTTTCTTGAATGCTTTAATTTTTTTCTCTGGAGTGCTGCTGCTTAAAATTTGAAATATTTAATAGGCTTAAAAATCCACGTGCTTAATATGAAAGAACTACACTTAACTTTCCAGTAAAAAAATGAACTTTGCAAGAAAGTTTTTTTACTGGAAAGTTAAGTGTAGTTCTTCGTAGATGTCACAACTGCCCAACATCTAAATATGAAGTGTTCCTGGGCTTATGGGTGGTACTCCAGACCAATGAGTGCTGAGTTTACAGCTCAAATAAACAAACTAACAGTTGTTTTTCTGAAATCCATGATAACGTGGGCTGGGTCAGATCTGCTAATAAAATTCTTTGAGCTCTTGTTAATAGAAGTCTCTAATTATTTAAGGAGGCAGCTCTGAAAGCGGTCGGTACAATCCCAGTGTGGTGGCAGGTAACTAGTTTCTATCCATTCAGAAAGGGCTGCACACTAAAAGATAGGGCTTTTCTTTCTTCTTGGGAAGTATGTGCTGGCTTTAAATAGTGGTGTCATTCCGAGAGCAAGTACATAAAACATGGAGTGGTACATTCAATTGTCTGCATGTAGTACTAGGATTTTATGCTAGCTTGCTTAAATACTAAGTCCTGCTTATATAATTCATTACCTTTACTGACAGTGCTGTTGCGAATATGAGGGAATCAGCATTGATAGAACATGATATTGGTTATTTTTATAAGATTTCAACCATTATAATTCCAACTTCCATGACCAAAATCAGTTAGCATGTATGTGTCTGTATGTCTGCTTGAATATCCAAGTTCTACAGCATGATTTTTTTCTGTGGAGTCTTTTGTTAATGCCATAGTTATGTGATGAAACAAAGATGTGTTCATGTTTTGTGTTTATCCTTTTAAAGTTGCTCCATTTTTGCTGTGTGATTTTAATTTTTCCTTTATAGTCTTAGTCATTTTCCAGATACATTTGTAATATCAAATCTCATACTAGATGTGAACATTCAGATGTCACAGAGAAAAGTGCTTCACCTCCTTCTGCAGGAACTCCTGAGCCATTCATGTTCTGACTTCACGTTTTTGGCTTTCATTTTATGTTTATGTTCTTCCTATGACAAGAGTTTAAAGTGAAGCCAATGTTTGCACTTCAAGCAAGTAAAAGACCAAGTGCTTTCTCAGCTTCGAAAGAGCTCTTGCAGGAGGAAGGACAGGGCTACATAATTATGATACAAATCTACTCTGTAAGCATAATTAAGCTTTTCAGTAATTTACTCTTAAGGGAGAAGATCTTGGAAAAACATTATGATACAAATGGGTGAAAATGCCCTGAATCAGGAATTTAGACATAGGAGAGCACTGTATCATGGTAATTCTTCCTGTTTTCTTAGAGAAGTTCAAAGCTAAACAAACTTCAGGGCTTTTCAGGGCTTTTTTTTCAGGGCTTTTCATTATTTCAGGGCTGATGTGGTACACCGTCATGCAGGTTTTGTGATCTGTGCCAGCCTTTCAATTAAGCAAGCGCTGAATCTTTTTTATCAGCCTTGGAAAAAAAAAAAGATGTACAGCCTCTCAGTTGTGCTTGTATGATTGTTTTTTCTACACAGGACTGCAAAGTGAATACCTAAACTATTAGGCGGAACTATTTTTGAGTACCAGAGTGGCCCTTAAAAGTGATTTGTGCAGGAATGTTTTCATTTCAAAGCTATATTTCAAAGACAAAAAGTATTTCTCCTTCTACCCTGTGGTGGTGAAACCTTTCGTGGTGGAGTACTGCATCTGAATATGGAGTCCTCAATACAGGAGAGACATGGATTAGAGCACATCCAGAGGAGGGCCACACAAATGATGCAAGGGATGAAACACCTCCCCTGTGAGGACAGGCTGAGAGAGCTGGGGTTGTTTTGTCTGGAGAAGGCTCCAGGGAGAGGGGAGAGATAGCGGCCTTTCCATAGCTAAGGAAGGGCTATAAGAAAGTATGGGACAGAATCTTCATCAGGGTCTGTTGTGATAGGACAAGAGGAAATGGCTTCACACTAGAAGATAGGAGGTTCAAACTGGATATAAGGAATGAGTTTTTTACAATAAGGGTAGTGAAACACTGGTACAGGTTGCCCAGAGATGTGGTGGGTGCACCATCCCTGGAGGCATTCAGGGTCAGGCTTGACCAGGCTCTGAGCAACCTGATCTAGCTGTGCATATCCCTGTTCATTACCAGGAGCTTGGACTGGATAATCTTTATGGGTCCTTTCCAACTCAAACAGTTCTGAGCTTTCTGTGATAATACATGAAACCATTCTTATGTGCTATGTTTTGTTTCATTCAAGAATGTTCGGGAATAAGCAATCTGAGTTCCATATTAAGATATTCTTTTTCCTTTTATTTGTGAAAAAACAGATGTGTGGCCTTACCATGATACATTCCTTTTCACTTCTCACTCCACCTTGCTAGGAGCTCTTATATTTCTGGAATAATAATGTTGTTTTTTTCCAGCAGCAGCTGCTTGTAACATCTGTCAGATGATTCAAATGATTACAAATCTGAATCAGAGTTTGCCTGTCTTAACCTAAAGCATGGGGATGAATTCCTGGTCAAGGAATAGAAGATAATTACAATTCCATTTTCCATGTTTGTTAGTAATCACTGCTATAGACTCCAATAAAGATGAAATGATTTCTGAAGCAGGTATAAATGATGTGGAGGTCTAATAATACAAAAGAAAATGGGAGAGACAAAAAAGAAAGAAAAAATAAGCAGCTCATACTTTTAACTACTTAAGTATACATCTCACATTCAGCATGAGACATTGACATTTGTTAACACCGTTGTAAAACAATGCTGCATCATATGCTTCGCATTCTAGATCTTCTCCAGCACCTTCTGATGATCAGGCCCTCTTTTATGTGTGAGTATTGGTGATTCAGAAACTCATCATGATTCTGTGTTGCAACTTGTCTCTAAAATCATTCCATGCTTTTATTACATCCATAGTAATGTCAGGGATATATCCACATATCGGTGCATATTCTGTCTCTCTTTGTGTGTGCATGTGCACTTGTGCCTGCATGTGTGGGTGTATATATATACATGAAAGTGTATGTGTGTCCTTCAATTTTTATACGTATTTTTATCCTAAAACTTGAAGATTGGAGCATACTTCCTAAGACTAGAATGAAAACACCTGTATTCTAAAAGATGACTGCTAATGCAGCCACGTGTGTGGTTTGTGTACTTGTGTGTTTGTACAGGGTCCACTGCTAGAGTACAGTGTACAGATATCTGGATTAATCTCAGTGTCATATTTTCTGTGGCACTTCTTTCTCCATGTGTAAAAAGATTCAAATTAGACCTAAATTCGTAATGCCAGTAATTTGTTGTGACTATTGTTCGTACGTTGTTATTTGGTTTGTTGGTCTTTCAAGGTTTTGTGAGGTTGTTCAGTCAAGCATGTAATCAATGTTCCTCTGTTCTGCATGCATTGTTGTGTTTACACATGTTTTCATTTGTACACCATTTGGTGTTTCCATTGTCACTGCTGTCATTGCTAGTGCATATCTTGGTGTTGGGGGTGGTATCTCAAGAAGGGAAGCCAGAACGTGTTCTCCTAAAAGCTGTACAGCTATGAAAGCAAGGAAATTATTAATCTCCACATATACTTTTTCTTGAAATTGTTGAACCTCAATTTGTCTTGCAGATAGTAATGCATTTAATCATTTCCCATCTTCTATATCTTCATACCTGTTTCATAGCACTTGTGAAGCTATGAAGAAATAGAAGCTTACCTACCTAAGAGATTTTTTACAAGATGTTTGTAAGTAGTGTGTAAGGATGTTTGAGAGCATCCTTTAAGCTGCACTTTCAGAATGACCCAGGATAAGTTAGTTAGTTATTCAAGTAATTAAAATCTACAAGGTATCCTGGAAGTTGTAGCACATCTGGTTTGCTCACCCTGTTAGCTGACCCGTAATGCTGATGTTGCACCAAAATAGAAAGTAGCAACCTTTACTACCTTTTGACTTTAGGAACTTGCACAATTTTGCTTTGTGCTCCCTGTGCAAAAGGGCTGGACAAGAGATGTAAAATTTCGTACTGTGTGTAATTGATGATCACTCCCTGCTGTCTGCATTGCACTTAATCTGGACATTTGTATTTCCTTTTTAGGGACTCTCCATTCTCCTCTCTGTACTGTGAACAACAGCTTCTTACTGCATTTTAGTGTCAAAAAGATTGCCCAGATGTTCTAAATAGTACAAACACTTCTTGCAATTCTAGTTTCTTTAATGCAGCTGCCTTTCAAGGGAAAGTACATTATTTCCTACTTATTTTTGTAGAGTAAAATTCGTTGAATTTGCTTGGGTTGAAATTGATGAATGTAACTGGATTAGTGACGCATTTTCTTTCACTGAAACACAGCTTCCATATGTTTTGGCTTTTATAGTGGCAGAGGATTCTTACGGGCTTACTAAGATAGAGCTTCCACAGCAGCATTTGCCCTGTGGGAGTTTTGTGACTATAGTATTTGTACGTTGCTGTAACTTATCACATCTAGAGTTGGAGATGGCTGAGAAGTAGTTGTGATTATTTGCAGAAATCAAAGAACTTCTGAAATAGTAATTCTTATTCTTTTCCCCCTTTCCTCTTCATTTCACTGCTAGACTTCATGGAATAACTGTTCTATGTCTTGCTTCTTTCTTTCTGCTCAGGGAACTCAGATAATCAGTAATCTTCCACTGAATGCTTGTTTTCCACTGAATGTATGCTCCTCAGCATTTCAGAATGAAAACACACTTTCTGTCAAGTGCATATCGCTTGAAAAAAAAAAAAAAGCCAAGGCAGATAAATTAATTGATTAATAGAAGGAGAAAAGGAGCAAGTGATAGTACAGACAATTTAGAAATTTCATTCAGAAGAACTAGAGAGTTGTTCCTTTTAAGCGTCCGTATTGTGGATGGTAGGACATCCTTTTGTGAATGTATTCTTTTTCCATCAGACTTAGATCTTGTCATACTTTGATCTGATAGCTAAGCTGCTTGTGGGACAGCAGCTTAGTGGGACATGACAAAGCCTGGTTATAGCAGGGCTATGTCCTTTGTTTGAATAGGCCTGTTTAGATCATAGTGTCCCTTTACCCGCAGAGAAAATTTTTTCAGAGAGATTTTTCATGCCTTAATCTTCTTCTTTGTCCCTGCCTCAACAGTCTCTCTTGCCGTTTCTCTTTCTGGCATTCAAACCTGGCTGAGTTATAGCAGGGCTTCAGAAGTCTGCATGTCATTTGGCTGATAGAACACGACTGACTATTGAGCTGACTGGATGTGCATGGTGATGTGGAAGGAGTTAGGCAGAGGATTACACCCTGCAGGTTACCTGATGTATTATAGCACATTTATATGTCCAAACCCATGCAGTATTTTTAACTAAAAGTATGGAAACCTAAAACACCTAGAGAACCTCTTTTGAAAGCAAAAAACCTTCTGCAAACTAGCTTCCAGAAGCATATTCAAACAGCATATTCAAATAATGGCAATGATACTTCATTCTTCACAAATCTTTTATTATTTATCTTTGCACGAGGCATCTGTTTTGACTGAAACAGAATTATCTCTGTTACATACCTATTGCTCTTAAAACACCATTTACTTAAATGTAGTAACTCTCGATAGAATCAAGAGAGTTCAGCTGTCTAATTTGATCACATATGCTTATTTTTCACAAGGCACAAAAACTAGTAATTCTTTATTTTCAACATAGCAGTTTTGGTGATTTTGAAATCAATGCATACATTAAGTGATCTTTAGTAATTTCCTCATATCCATTCTTCACACCAAGCAAAGATTTGACTGGAAGTCCTCATACTACTTCAATCATGTCTGTTTTATTGCAGTATTACATATGTGATAGCAGAAAACTTACCGAAGTACAGAGCCTATTTGAAGCAAGAGTCAGAGGAAGATCTGACAGTATTTTCTTCCTTACAGTCTGCTTCGTGAGTTCAAAAGACCTTTTGTTTTCTCCTGTAGAAATCTCAGATCTAACTCTTTGTATACACTTTGCTTAATTCCAGATGCTAAATTTTATTTCATAATTTATATTTTATTTTATATTTAGAGCTGAAAGATAGTGATTTTCCTTCAGACTAGCCACCATTTAAATAAAAAGTTGCTCACGACAGAGTTTTGGCTTTGGCTAGCAAATTTTTTCTGACTATTAAATAGACTGTTTTACCGGTATTTGTTTCTTCCTGTAAAGAGTCTGTGTGCTGTCCAGTCCTAAATTTCTTTTAAATGCAGTGCAATTTGACTTAGGTATTGCCACAGGTACTCAGTGCTTCTGGCCTGAGAATTTGACATTGATATTCTATCCAAAATATATACTGCAGAGAACTAATTTTGCTGTTGTTTTTGTTGCTTTTAAAAATTCATTTGTTACAAGCCAAAATATTCAGTGTCTAGTTATTTTTTTAAAAAATATCCAAAAGCAATAACAGCTTTTGAATTCTGGTCTTATTATTTTGTAAAAAGTAATAATAATAATTAATGATTAATTGTTGAGTATTAACAGTAAGTAATTCAGCTTTGATTTAGTTCTAGTTTCAACATACAGGTTCTGCAGTTGTTGGCTGGTTGGTAGAACTTCATAATAGAGATAAATGCTTTGGGAATCCCTGTGTACTATATGTTTTCTAACAGGTTTCTCATAAGGAAATTCTAGGTACTGATTGGAATTCTAGTAAAAGTAGATTTTTGGAAGAAGTACAGTGCTGACAGTGTCCAGTACCTGAATTTTTGCATAGGAATACAGTAATTTTTTGGATTTTTCAAAATGAATTTCATGTTCCTGTTAAATCAGGGAAGTCCCAGAGCTTCCAGAGCGTGAAGAGGGGGAAGGAGAAGAAAGTGAACTTCAAAATGCATCTTTCAGTAACTGGAACCAGCCCAGAAAGTAAGTATAGATCTTGCACAATAGATAATCTAATCTGAAATCCAAAAATTTTGAAACCTCTGATACAGTTTAAAAGAAAGAAGAAAATAGAAGTACTGCAGTTAGTGTGTATTGTGCATCACAGATGTAATTCACTGCTGATTTTCATACTGCCATTTGGCTAAATCTCTGCAATCTAATGGTTATTTAATTGTTTTGTTAAATTTATCTTTATAGGCTTACTGTTTGCGTGCCAATATGAGGAGTTGAAGAGAAGTTTTAATTAGAAGCCAAAGTAAATGGAAGCAATAGCAGTTACAACTTTCTGAGCAACCAAATAGATAAAATAGATAACTCTCACTGAAAAAAAAAAAAAAAAATGTTTTTAAATGATCATGCCAATCTGGGGTTCTTCAGTGGTTGGCACTGTCATATTTTAGGCTTCATTTATTTTGCTCCTTTTTTTATCACAACAGGGTTGAACTTTGGAGAGAGCCTGGCAAGTCATTGGGGATCAGCATTGTTGGAGGACGAGGGATGGGGAGCCGCCTGAGCAGTGGGGAAGTGATGAGAGGGATCTTTATCAAACATATCCTGGAAGACAGCCCAGCTGGCAAAAATGGGACACTGAAAACTGGAGATCGGATTGTCGAGGTACCAACCAAGTGCCTTTCAGTTGCAGTACCCCCAGCGTCTCAAGAGTCGCTGAAATAGATGTTTGCTCCTGGTCTGACCACTCTGCAATTCATCCAGCTGGCGCTGCTTGAGCTTTACAAACACAGCAGCGCCATCTACTGATATTTATGTGCCGACAGTTTGAAGTTGTATTTACAACCTGAAGCATGAACGGCTGGCTGTGTGAGTAGGGGTACAAAGCTGGTAGTTCCACCTACATTTCATAGAACGTGTAGGAAGAAGTTTGGTAAGCTAGAAAGTTTTACGTTTGCATACTGGATAGCAACAGATGTCCAATGAACAAAATATCATTAAAATAAATGCTATAATTTATCTCCCTCTAAAGTCTTACACAGGCCTCATCCTTCTTGTGCTTTTCAGGAGTTAGGGAAGACACTGTTTTCTTCCTGATGACATGCAGAAAGATGAATTTGATACAGAGATATTGCAGGGAAGTTGAGAGTATTGTGTTTATGCGGTGTTGCAGAGAAGAGTTCATCTAGATTCATCTTCTCCTGCTTACATAGTCCCTGCTTATGCAATGATTTCTGCATTCCTGCTCAATAATTTTGAAGAGTCTTTTCTGCAATAGTTATCAGTAAATTAGACATTAACATGTTTCCAGTGTCATGCCTTTGGGAGCTACACTCCTTTTCACCCACTTATTTCTTACCCACTCATATTAAGACTAGTGATATGTGGCTGCTACTAGATCCAAACAAAAAACATTGAAATAATACAGGAACATAGGACAAGATGGAAGATTTTTTTTTAGTATGAAACAAGTTAGGAAGTGGTATTTTACTTGGTGGCCACAAAATTAATCATTATTCCTTGTAACTGACTATCTGGAGTTTTATGAATGCAGTAATTGTCTCTGAGAATGGTACTTGTAGAATGTGATGTGGGTGAGCAAAATTAGTACTTAGTGTATTCATGCAACTGTTTGTGAATGGATGGTTACATTTTTTTGAGTCGAGGCGTTTTTTAGGCTTTCCTTTCTACCAGTGCATGTACTATTTCAGACATAGAAAATTGCAGATCTGTAGTGATGCTTCTAATTACTCATGGGTTTAGAATATTTTCTCTTTCTTTTTTCTTTCTCTATGTTTTCAAGATGGTGTTAGTTAGAGGCAGGGGTAATTCTCATTGTGTAACATTTTTTGTGCAAAAATTGCCACTAACAAAAGACCTATCTGCATTAGCTTCTAGCTAATGGTCATCATGAGAATGCTTTACTGATGCTAACTTTACCATAACATATTCTTAGCTGGATGGCAAAACTGTTATACACGATACATCTGAAAACAAGAAAAGAAAGACCAAACAAACATTTTAAAGAGAAATGGCTCTTTAGCTCTGACCTAAAAATTTAGCTTCTAGTGAAATGTCTTACAGCTGAACACATTTTTACATTAGTGGTGGTGTTAATGATCATTTAAAAAATAAAATAAAATAAAAAAGGCTGAAAAGAAAAAAATATGCTATTATGCTATTCTGACATAATGCCTCATAATGAAAGTTTCCAGCGCTTAAAACTTTCAGTTTGTAAATCTTATTAGGTACTGGGAAAATAGGTTGTTGTCAGATAGAATTTATTGAAAGTGGTATTTAACAAATACTGCCACTCTGTTCATAGTACTGTATTTCTTTTATTACCTTGCCTGAGGGAAAGCGTAACAAGCCTGAACCATGATTGCTGAAATTCTTCCCTTCTCCTCCCTTTTGTTTTAAACCATGGAGAACATATATTTGATGTCATTTCACTGATCTTGGAAACCTCAAGCCCATGTGTAAGGGACATGAGGTGAAGTTGTTAGAAACCTTTCCATTAATAGCAGGGATTTGGGCTTAAGTTTTACTTAAAAGTTCTCTGATCGGAACCCAGAGCTGTTTCATGACTCTTGTAGCTTCTTGTAATGCTAAGATGAGGCCTTCCAATTACAGGTGGATGGAATTGACCTCAGAGATGCCAGCCATGAACAAGCTGTGGAAGCCATACGGAAGGCAGGCAATCCTGTAGTCTTTATGGTACAGAGCATTATAAGCAGACCAAGGGTAAGCATAAAAAATAGGAAAAGAGATATGATATGTAGTAATAGATGAATTGAATGTTCAAGATGGTGGTGTTTGGGAGTGGGATATTTAATCCTGAAAGTTCCATCTTAGCTATTTCAGGAACAGAGATTTGATTTAAATATTATTTCCGTTTAGAATGAAATCGATTTGGATTTGGAATTGCCCTCCAGCACGCCGCCCTCAAACTATTTTGAAAAGCCTCAAGAATGATAATTTGTTGGGGGGCAGAGTAGGAATCTTAACTAAAATCAACTCTTAGAGATTGACAGCATGTCAGAGGAGCGCATGCAGAAATACAACATCTGTTAAAATATTCATTGGACATTAATAAAAGGACATAGAAGTACACGGAAGGTTTCTGTCACTAAGCTGCATGGACATTGCAGACAAATGCTAATAAACTTTAATATAGTTGATTTCATCACTAGAAACTAAAATTCCTCTTTGTAGAGAGTCTGTGTAAGTTGCATGTTTATTTACTAGTTGTCTCACAACTCTTGTTCCCCAGCCAGAGTCTCTTTATAGGCTTTCATCAGCTTCTGCTCTCTGTGAGCAGAAAACTACTAACCCATTTTATCGTCAGTCATCTAAGGTAAAGTTGCATGAAAAAGATCTGTTGAATGTTGACTACTGATACTCAAGATATTAAAGTAAGGCTTTTGCATTTGCTGTGATGTGAACGAAATGGCCACCGCTGAATGTTTAGGCCATTGTTTGGGTTGGGAGCTATGCCATTACTTTATCACCACTTTTCGTGTTTAGAGAATGCTCTGTTTTTTATTGCAGTTATTTATTTTTTTCTTTGTTGGTTGTTTTCTTGAATGTTTATTAACAAACCTTTGTTTCTCTGTGAGCAGAAACATTGCAAACACTCTCTGCTGTACACAGGCTTTGCATTGTGATCTTTTGTTAAAAGCATTATATACTTACTGTCTTCATTGCTGAAACGTGCATCTGTACTTCATAATAAGATCTTAAAGGAAATTTCCTGCCTTCATTCATGCGCAGTTACCCAGATAGCTAACTGCCTGCACACAGCAACTATATTTAGTACAGTGCTGTAAGGCAGTCATTTTCAAGTGATGTTGGTAGTGAGTCATATTTGTCCCTTTTTGGTTTTTCTTATTTCATTTAGGCTGCTGTAGAAGTTAAAGAGGTCTGAAGCAGACTGTATAGTGTCTCAAATAGTGCAAGTGGATTGTGAGAAGCTAATTCAGTAATTTTGCTTGCAAGCAGTTATCTATGAAATCTGTTTCATATTTATCCTGCAGTGTGTACTTCTTAGTAAGAGTTAATCTGCCACCTTGATTATGGTCCCAGCCATTCTGTTATGTTACAGCATTATGCTTTACAGTATTCACATCTGATATCTCAGCATCCTGGGTATATTAATAAACAGAACACTAATTAAAAAAAAAAAAAATCATTTATCCTGTTATTTTTTGTCTTATTTTGAAAAGAAAAAAAAAAAGAAAAGTATTTGGTATTTTAGTATGTGTTTTACTTGCTGTAGACTGTGGAAGAAGACATGCTTTATGTGCATTATTTAAAATGTAACTGTGTAGACAAACTCAAGTGCTCCAAATTTTATCCTTGTGAGCAGTCAATACAATTAATACAACACAGTTGCATAGATTAGAATTAGAACTAGCAATTATATTTTAGGTGCTCTGTCATCATGAAAAAGATATAAAAGGCATAATTTTGAATTATTGTGGCTAATCTGTTTCCTGTTTTACTAAGACTGGTGTTTGAAAACAAAGCCTTCATGATGTTTATTTTAGCTGCATAAAATTAAAAAAGATACAGTTGATAATTCTTTGCAGTGGCTGATGTAATGTTGAAACTGTAATAGAACCATTGCACTGATAAATTGTTCTTCCCAAACTTCTCTTTACAAAAGATGACATCTAAGTGTGAGTTACACGTATAAACAGAAAATAATTTACTGTAGGGCAACTGCTTTTTTACTGTGAGGGGCTTGTCAATGAAGAGAGCTTGTTCATACAGATCTGTACCTTCTCTGTGCTGAAGACACTGTAGAACCAAGATGTGCTGTCTTATCAAATTACATTACATTTTGCTTTGCAAAGTAATATTTGAGGATAAATGCTTAGAAGAATATTTTTAGAAATGGTGAACAGATCTATGTACTTTGAGAAAATTTTGTAACTGCAACGTATATCTGGATTAAATTACCATGATGTTAAACTGTTAGTTGTTGCTGCAAGCCTTTCACATTCCCTGTAGTACATTTCTTTTTTCCAGCAACATGAAGCTTATAGCAACCAATTATTTAGACCACAAACAGATGGATGCACCTATTATAGAAATTACTTTTAAGTACACATTGGACTGTTTTCTCTTTCTGATCTTAAAGTAGAATACAATACTAGAACTGCATAGGGAGTATAAGTGATGAAGTTACATCCTTTGATTTTATTGACATAGGAAATGATTTAGTTTGTTAAATAAGTAACTACCTTACCTTGTATTGTTTAACAAGAAGACCAACTTGTTACAGTACAAGTCAGTAAATCACACATACATCTGCATAGATGCAAAGTGAGGTGTAAAGTCAGAGATGTCTAATAGTACTAAGCCTTATATTTTGCAAAGGGCGCTGTGAATACATTACCTTGATACATAAATCAAATAGCGAGAATTTGCGTGGTTTGCAAAATAAAACTTGTCCTAGATTTATACTGTGTTATTAATACAAATTGCATTTATTCTCATCTAGGAATTCGCAACTCTATGATTAAGTAACTGAGGTTGAAGTTTATCCCATATACTGAGATACCTAGGCAAAATTGTACAAATGCCACAGCAAGTAAATGTTACATTGTTTATGCTACTGAATACTACACGGATTTTGTGGGCTAGAACACATTGGAAGATCAGTATTTTCTTCTGATCTCTGCTAATCATAGCTGATCATCTTGAGCATACAAGTTGAAAATACAGAGCAAGTGCAGTTTATCTACCTTTATGTGTCTGTACAGCAGTATATTAGTAAGATCTTGCTTGGTTAGCACAAACTACAAAATAAATACATTTTGTTTAATGAGTCACAGAGGGTTCACTTAAAAATGTTTTTGTTCAGTTTCTGTTATGTTTTTCTTTTAGAACTCTTCCCTGCCTTTCCCGCAGAACTATCTTTTCTGTAGGCCAACTATCTTCAGCAGCACTAACCCATTTGCTGATTCTTCTCAGTTCATCGCTAACAAGGTTGGGTGATGATTAACTATCTGCTTTTGACTCACCAAACATGATACGTGTGCTTTTTTTGCCATTAGTATGTCTCTGAATTTAAATTCTTCTGTACTGTATTTGTATAAAATACTGTGCTGATGAAGATGGAAATTCTGTGTAGTGAATTAAAATGGCCCAGACACATACATGCATGCATATACAAGTGGAGAAAAGTTTTTGGATAAGAAAAGCCAGGTCCATTAGCTGTAATTACCAAATTTGAATTAATCAAAGCTATCAAAGGAGCAAGTTCTCAATTAGAAAATCAGTTCCTGTGATGTTTGTTTAAAAACTCTACCAGAGTGAAAATCTGTCATCAGTGTATAGTGTTTTGCTGCTATGTATTTTGCTATGGCATCTTTGCTGTCTCTTTTTTTTTCCCCCGATGAAAGCCCAAGAAATATTGGCTGCTTTGTTTAATGGTGCTGAAAATACTTTCACTTTTCTTGTTGAAAATTCTTTTAGTGTACCATGGACAAGATACCTACATCTTTGAAAATCTGAAAAAAGTTGGATTTTTTTTTTTTTTTTTTTTTTTTTTTTTTTCAGATTAGTGCTTACAGCATGTTATTCATGTTGGAGACAGAATTAACCTAACACAGTAATAAATAAAGGTTTAATTCATTTGTGCATGCATTTCTGATTTAAAACAGTAAGTGACTGGGAGTGGCACTATCCTCTTATTTTTCCACGTTGCAGTCTGTTGGCTCTCTCAAATGTAAAATGAATTTCTATGATATGTGACATATAATTGCATGTATGTTTTTGAAATCTCTATTTGTTCCAGTGGGAGTGGAATAATAAATGATGGCTTGTGTTTTCTGTATTTTCAAAAACATTTCTGAAAAAAGTGTATGTATTTAGAGAAAAAACTGTTTTTGTAGTTTATGCACTGAGATAAGAATGCTTTTTTGTCATCTCTGTCAGCTGCTTACAGGTTTGTGTTCAGTAAGAAAGCTTGCAAAAGCAAGGCCCTTAACAACTCCTGGAATAGTTTGTTTTGTTGATTTAATACATTTGCAGCAGTTAGTAATGAAATTGAGTTGTTCGTTAGTAACACTACATGTTGCCAAAGGTACTGTAACATATGGGTTGCTGTTTTCTGTTGCTATAGGAGGTATCGAATCCAATTAGGGTTACCTTCCGTTGTTCCCCAACTAACCCTTTTGCTCCCACACCATTCAAGGTTTGTCTTGTTTCTAGTGAGCAGGTGATACTGTGTGTGCTGTGCATTTGTACCTGTCCTGTGATACCTTCCAGAATCCTGCTTATTCCTCCACCTGTGCCTCCTCTGTTGAAAGTGGTACCGCTCCAACTGCCATTTTTAATATTTGCTTGGCTGTGATCAGTGACCCTGATAGCCAGATGGGTTTGTGTACCGTGTGATGCTTTGCATTTTGAATAACATAATATGAAATACTGTGCTATGGCACATAACAAGTATTTCATGAGTTAAAGCATTTTAGTTTTTCGTGTGTGTATGGCCTGATTCAGAGAGCAAAAGTCTTATGTGTGCTGAGGGGCCAGCTCCAGCTGTTAGAGACACTTGTGTAACAGGCTGAGTTTAGAAGGCAGAAGGTGGTCCCCTGTGTCTGAATTGCATAGTAACATCCTTCTTAGCCTTTTCCTTCATCTCTTCACAAAGAAAAATTTGCAATGCATCTGAAACTCCTCTCTTTTTCATCTCTGGTTTTCAGCTCTGCTGAGGTAGAAGACTGTCACCAATTTTTCTCTATGTTGGATACATGAACTTTTCGTTAGAAAAAAGCACTTTTGCTGTTAATGACTGGCGTTTTCACCATTCTGTCATTCTGATGGATAAAAAATTTCTTTGTTTTAATTTTGCTGCATCAATTGAGGCTTATGTTTTAGAGTATAATTTGCAAAAATTGTAAATATTTCTGTAATGCATTGCCTTAGAATGCCTTGGCTTTCAAGCACAGGCATGGCATTTTTAATGAAATTTAAAGCCAAACTGTTGGCATGGGTGCCTTTGTAACATTCTTAAATCTTTCTTAAATCTCAGTGTCACAAAGTTGTTAACTTTCCAGTCTTTTCAACACCTTGATTTGAAAGTGTATTAAAGTTGTCCAAGGTTTATGTTGTTATTCTGTTTCTTTGAGCTCTGATAAAGCATTTCAGTGCTTCTGGCTTCTGTAGACATTATCTGTGATGTTATTTTCAAGCTTTGTATTGGAGGACAGTGAAAACTGAAATTACAAGAATAGAGCTACGAAGCTAGTACTGAACACTTTCTTGAAAATACACTTACCAACAGCTGATGGGCGTGGATAACTTCAGAATAATTATATAACTTCACCACCCCTATGAGGATAGGCTGAAAGAGCTGGGGCTGTTCAGCCTGGAAAAGAGAATGCTCCAGGGAGACCTGATAGTGGTCTTTGAGTATCTAAGAGGCTACAAGAAAGAAGGGGACAAACTCTTTAGCAGGGTCTGTGGTGACAGCACAAGGAGAAATAAATGGTTTCCCACTAAAAGATGAGAGATTTAGATTGGATATAAGGAATAAGTTTTTTACAGTAGGGGTAGTGAAGCACTGAAACAGATTCCTCAGGGATGCAGTGGAGGCCTCATTTCTGGAGACATTCAAGGTCAAGCTGCACAGACTACTTTTTTCTGACCTATAAAGTGGCACATAAAACTTTACTGAATTGGGCTTTAATTGTCTGTTCTATTTGCTTCTGAATTCATTTTGGAGTGAGGTTATCTCTTACGTTGCCTAGTGCTTGTTTCCATCTTTGATCTCTTGCAGCTTTTCTGTGCTGTATTATACATTTAGAGTTCCAGCTACTTGGTATTTAAACTTCAAAGCCATAGTCATTGCCTTTTTGATGTTTTTGTATGCTGTCTTGCTGTACACATAAGTCTGCATTTGCTTAGCCATTACATTTTTCTTATTCTCCACAGGCTTTCAGTCAATCCGATTCAGAGCCAGAAAAGACTTCATCTTGTAACCTGCCTCTGCCTCCTCCTTCTGCATTTTCAGGAATAAGCTGTGATGTTCCACAGTCATCATCCAGCCAAGTTGTAGAAGATGTAGAGAAGGATGATGAGTTTGGTTACAGCTGGAGTAAGCTTATCTTTCGTGATAATTTTTCAAATATTTATTGCTGAAATAGTATTGTCAGAAAAGATACGAGGTATCCAGTCTGAACTACTTCATTCTCATGAGTTTTTTTGAGTCTTAAGTGTTGCTGTCAGCTTTCACTTGTGGTTGTCAGAGGCACATAGTGAAACACAAAAATGATTCTTCTAAATTACATATCAATCGTTGTTTCTCCATGGTCCAGAGTCACAGTTTCGTACTCAGGACTACTTGCGGAATTTCAGTTACTGTAGGTAACTGATGGCTGTGATATGTAATGTTATGATTCCTGTTAGCTGAAAGTATTATTGGGGTACAGATTATTGCTTTTATATGCTTAGTCTTTTTTTCTTTAAGTTTTAATGTTTTCCTAAGTTAGAAAGAAAACAAAGAACTAGAGATCACCAAAGACTTAGCTGGAATGAAAATGTGGAGTACAGTTGTGACTTTGTCATCCAGTTTACATTTTACTGTCAGATACTGTCCATTGGACAATAATCTTAACTCTGCAACTAGTTTGTGAGCCTATAATGCAAATTCAACTTTGTTTCCCATACCTTTACATTTAGAAAAGATTTCACAGCGCTATGGAAGTCTACCAGGCGAACTGCACATGATTGAGCTAGAAAAAGGAAGGACAGGTCTGGGACTTAGTCTTGCTGGTAACAAAGACCGATCCAGGATGAGTGTCTTTATAGTGGGAATTGATCCGAATGGTGCAGCTGGCAAAGACGGCAGGTTACAGATTGCAGATGAGTTGCTAGAGGTAAGTTCTTGCGATTTTTATAGAAACTAAAACATATTGACTTAAAATGCACTAAATATTAGATCATTGCTGGTGTTCTTTAATGGACCTTGGAATAGAGGACACAGCAATTTCTGCATCATAGATTGTGAATTGTAGAAAACAAAAGGCCCTTAGGCAATCCATCTGTGGAGTGCTCCGGAGTTTCTCATTATTTCCCTGTCTCACACTAGAAGTGTGAGAATACCAAAAAGCTTATGTAACATAAAAGAGAAATCAAGGGGTATCAGGGGTAACAGAAACGGATTTGTTTGTATCATGGACTCTCTTGCCATATTTGGGCTCAATTCTAGTGGCTTTTTGAAGAGAACAAATGGCTTAATATGCAGGTAACATTCTCAGTATGTTTATGAATGTGTTGTTTATGTTACTGCAATTCAACTGATTTTGCTTGTGGATATATTTTCTGCTGTGGCTCTCCTCAGGTTAGTAGTGATAGTTAACATTACCCTCACAGAACCATTTTTTTTGTAACGTCGAAACTGCTATGTTGCAGCGTCTAACACTACAGTGAGGAAATTGTTCAGTTCCGCCATTCCTTCCCAGCACCAAGTGTGAGGATGACACTGAAGGCATATAGGCTGGCAGGGGAAGACTGGGAGAGAATGCAGAGTATTTGTGATACTGTGGATCTACTCTCATGCTTGTCATTTGCAATAAGTCCAGTGTTGTGTGCTAGACGGTTCTCTTGAATCCGTTAAAGTTTTTAAAGTTTTAAAACCTTAGTATTGCAAATGCATGGTATCCTTAAAACACATTGAAATACCTCTGTCTGAGTCAGCTCTCCTATAAAGTCAGAGACCAACACAGTTAATAAAACGTTAGCAAATTATGGCCTTATTCTGCAAGTTCACACTTAAATCTCATGAATCTCAAGGACTTCGTGAGCTTTCAGTGAGTCTTTTCTGCCAAATGAAGATGGCAATTATGAGGTCAAATCTTTATAGATTATAAATGCACCAACATTCAAATTTCTTTGTAGAAGGTACATTGCTCAGAGCTGAGATTCAATAAATAGTAGTAATCTTGTTGTTGGCTTTATGTATTTATTTACTTTGGTTAGAATTTCTCATGGCCTCACTGTATTGCTCCATCAGTTACAAAGTGAAACTAGATAATGTGCTAAGACAACACAGTGTAATCCAGAGAATGACACTTTTAGCATTGTGACAGTGTTAGATCAAAATTAGAATCATAGAATCACCAAGGTTGGAAAAGACCCACGGGATCATCCAGTCCAACCATCCACCCATCACCAATAGTTCTCACTAAACCATGTCCCTCAGCACAGCACCTAAAGGTTCTTCGAACACCTCCAGGGTCAGCGACTCCACCACCTGCCTGGGCAGCCCATTCCACTGCCTGACTTTTCTTTCAGAAAAGCAGTATTTCCTAACATCCAGCCTGAATCTCATCCGGTGCAACTTGAGGCCATTCCCTCCAGTCCTATCACCAGTTACATGAGAGAACAGGCTGACCCGCAGCTCACTACAACCTCCCTTGAGGTGGTTGTAGAGAGATGTAAGGTCTCCCCTGAGCCTCTTCTTCTCCAGACTGAACAATCGCAGCTCCCTCAGCAGTTCCTCATAAGGCCTGTGCTCCAGACCCCTCACCAGCTTCATTGCCTTTCTCTGGACACACACCAGGGCCTCAATGTTTTTCTTGCAGTGAGGGCACAAGATTGAACACAGTACTGAAGGTGTGGCCTCACCAGTGCTGATTAAACTGAACTTAATTGAAATTAAATTGCAATAAATTTTTTATTGAAAAAGGAAGTGAGAGCAGGACGCAATGTACTCCATAATTGTAACAAAATTGTTGCTTTAGCCATGATGTGGTATTTCAGATTTTTTATTTGAAAAATAATTACTGCTTTCTTCTATGTAGATAAATGGGCAAATACTCTATGGAAGGACTCACCAGAATGCTTCATTCATAATCAAATGTGCTCCGTCTAAAGTGAAAATAATCTTCATCAGGTAAGTTCTTATTTAAAAAAAAAAAAATGCATTTTAATATACTCAGGTTCTTGCACCAATAGTACTTCTATTTTATTTTTAATTTTGGGAAGATTGGTATGCTTTTAAGCTCAGTTTGTACGAATTGTTAAATATACATTGTATTTCTGTTTTGATATTTGCATTGATAATACCAAAAATAACGCAGAAGAAAGAAAGAGCTAGAGTTAAATGTGCTCCAATTAAGATGGTGTTATTTTACTATGTTTTATAACTGAATCTCTTGTAGAAATAAAGATGCAATAAATCAGATGGCTGTTTGCCCTGCAAAATCAGTAGAGGCTTTACCTTGTGCTTCAGAGAAACTTCAAAATCAAGAGGTTAAGTAAATTTTGTTTTTTTCTCATTTGACTGAGATTCTGACATTGCTCTGGGTAGATGGGTACCCTGTATACTCAGCAAATATTGCACTAAGTAAAGCAATCCAGTGGAAAAATAGAACAGATTTCTTACCAGTGCTACATTTACTGTACCTAGATCTGTTTTACTTTATGTTCATCTGAACTAAGAAGTAAATCTAGTGTTCCTGTGAAGAGGGTTATAGCAGTTTAAATGGATCCATAACATGATCAGATCCACTTTTTGTTAAAAATGTTAATGATGAAAGTAGCTGCTCACAGTTGTGTTTTCTTTATTAGGTTGATACTACTGCAGACTCTGGTATTTCACCTGACTTCAGTTCATATAAAAATATTCAGTATGTGGAACTTCCTAAGGTATGTGCTGAGAATTAAATTCACACCAGCCATGTTTGTATTCACCGGCTTGTTTTTTTATAGTGGAATCCCTCAAAGCAAACAAATGTTGTCCCTTACTTACTGGCCGTCAGACTGGAGATTTCTAGAGTCCTTTTATTCTTCCTTTCTGTTGAGTGAGCCAAAAACTTTCCTGATGTTATACCTTCCATGAAAACCTGAGGAAGTTTTTTAACATCATGTATATTTGCCAAATGCTCTTTGTGTCTGGAAGAAGTCGTTTTTGATCTAATTTTAAAATTTGCAGTAACTAGCTGTTTGGTTGAACACAGAGAGGTTTTATTATGCTGTATCAGTTAAATCATTGCCTGAGTAGTTTCCAAATGTTTTTGCTAAAAAGGCTAATGGTATGCCAGTCTGCATTAGGCAAAGTAGGTCAAGAGAGATTATCCTTCCCCTCTAGCTGGTTTTGATCAGGCTGCTCATGGAGTAATGTGTCAAGCTTTGGATCCTTTGATATGACAAAAACATGGATATACTGGAAAGAATCCAACAGAGGACCACCAAAATGATCAAGGAAATGGAGGAGAAGCTCGGAGACCTGACACTGCTCATCTGAAATGAGTCCAGGAGGGAACTTATCAATTTGTATAAATACCCATAGGGAGAGTAAAAGGAGTCAGGCCCTTTCAATGGTTCCCAGTCCCAGGACAAGATACAGTGGGCACAAACAGGAACCCAGGTGGTTCAATTTGAACATCAGGAAGCACTTTTGTACTGTGCAGATGAAAGAGCACTGGAACAGATTAGGTTGTTCAGAGTGGTAGTGGAGTCTCTTTTCTGGGGTATCTCTGAAAGCTACCTGGATATGTTTCTGGGCAGTCTGCTCTAGTTAGTCATACTTAAGCAAAAGGTTGGACAGGAGCCTCCAGAGGTCCCTTCCAATCTCAACCATTCTGTGATTCTGTAATTGTTCTTCCTATTTATGAATTCAACAACTGAATCATAGCTGAACTTCAAGTTTCAGAAGAAAGGGGTTTGAATTTAAAATACCTTCAGATTTATCTTGGTAAGCAATATACTATTAATAGACGGGGAAAATCTGCTATTTCAGACTTAGTTTAGTTTGAAGTAAAGCATTGATGCATTGGGAAGACCCAAACTTCTGTTATTTCTGCAATCTGCACTAGTCTTTTGTGAATGTATTGTAACATTTTGATAAATACAGTACCTAACCATTTGCGTATTTCTGTTTATCCCAGGATGAAGGAGGTTTGGGAATTGCCATTAGTGAAGAAGACACAGTCAATGGAGTAGTTATTAAGAGCTTAACAGATCATGGTGCAGCAGCAAAGGTGTGAAAATATTTTAAATCCATATGAAAAAAAATATATATACTTTTACTAGCACCCAGTTTATATTTCTTTTTCTATTTTATTTCCAGGATGGAAGAATCAAAATTGGGAGTCAGATCCTGGCAGTGGATGATGAAATTGTTGTGGGCTATCCAATAGAAAAGGTGCTTCTGAATTGTCTGGAATACTGTAGAAATAACACCACTAAGTTTAGGAGATGATGTCTCAAACAAACTTGTGAGATTTTGGTGACTCTAACTGCTTTTTCAAAGTTAGCCTAAGAACCAAAGATACACAAGTTTTGTCTGGATAAAAAAATTACTGCACAGTAAGCTAAAGCCAACATAAATAAGTAATCTTTCGCTTTACTACGGATATGATTTTTTTTTTCCTGTTTCGCATCTAATGAGTAAGAAGCACCTAGTGCTGGGATAAGAGGTATGAACTATAACTCAATCTTGTCTCTTCGTAACTGCACCACTTTAAAAGTGTAGGAAACAATGAAATTGATATGTCTGTATTTCAAACTAGTAAGTTGCTTCAGTGCTAAATCAGGTCATGAACTGAGCTTATATACATGGGGAGTATGTGGAACAAACATCTAGTCTCCAGCCTGATATTTCAGCCCTCTGGCAAAAGCTATTTCCATTCCTAAATATTGATATTTATTGTTGATAGATAGATTTTACTAACTTCCAGCTCACCAAACTCAGTTAAGGCTTTGTAATGAATTAAGGAGGGAACATTTTTTAGTATCTGCCTTGTTACCCAGAAAAGTGATTCTTTTGGTGCAAGATCACTACTGATTTGTTAAAAAGCAATTAGCAGAGTATCCATCTTATTCTCTGAGAGCACTGTTGTGTTTCAAGCAGTAAATACTTAAGCAATAATGAAATTGTTTGCAGGGAAGTGGAAAAGGCTTGAAAAAAAGGAGGAACAGACTGAGTAAGGTTTCATTTCTAAAACAAAAAAATAATTATAATTATATTGAAATGCTTGGAAGGATTTTATGCCTGTGAGACAGTAGCAAACTTTTTTCACCATATCCTGAAACTACAGCATGAGTTTGATCCCATTTTGTGTTACATTTCAGTATTATCCTTTTCCTCCTGTAGTTCAGATAATATTTTCAATTTTTCCTTTCACCTGTGTTTCTGGTTAAGGAGGTTGTATGGCACTACTGTGCTTTGATAGAAAACTTCAGATTTCCTGACGTTGATTTTTTGTGAGATCATAACTGGGTTCCACATTAAGAGACAACACTAGTTTTCTACTTTCTACTAATAGTTTACTAAATACTTACTTTCTTCTACTAATAGTCTACTAAATACTTTCTACTAATCTTTCTACTGATAGCTATAAATATAATACTTTTTCCAGAGAAACTGCTCATAGGTAACAATATTACCATGTTGTATATTTTGGCAGACTTCTATAGAAGGTAATTGAATAACGTTATCCAGGTCAGGCCCTCAATGTCAATGTTTGTGATTGTTAATTGACAATAAAATCTCCAGAATAGTGGCTTCAGTTTGGAGAGCAGTTCGTTTGCCTTATTTTTCTTTTACAATGGGAAGTCCAACTACATTCTTCACCATCTTTTCTTTATACCATTCAGTTTATCAATCTCCTGAAGTCATCCAAAAATTCAGTGAAGCTTACAATCAACTCAGCAGAGCCAGATAGCCAAACCATAGCACCAGTCCTTTCCAGCACCGCATCAGCAGAGAGAAGGAGTATCCAGCCACCAACAGCTGTTTGCTCTTCGAACTCACCAGAACCAGAAGCAGTCAAAAGTAAGGTTCTTATGTATCTTGTTTCACAACAATTACAAGATAAAGATGAGGACCCAGCTAGTAAACAAGCTCTGGGTTTTTTTGTATGCATGTGACTCTCGGCTGAGCTTCACTTCCTAGTACTTCCAGGTTGAAGAGCAATCTAAATAAAGCAGTGAGACTCCACAGTGAAGACTTACCTCTTGCCTTCCCATTTGCCTATCTGTAGAAGTGGAGTGATGAAGGAATTTCCTCTTTTGTCTCAAAGCCTGTGCATCAAATGCTCAGGTCATGGTTGTCTAGAATGAAGTGGGAGTATTGTCCTTTAAATCAGAGAGAAATTCACATAATCTTTCCTAGAACAGAGGAATGAGTGATGCTTTCCAAGTGCTAAATACTAGCCAAGTTTGAATGTCTCCCTCTTGACAAGAAATGCCACTGATTGATGATGACACATCACTAAGAAGCTAGTAGAAGTTTAATTAAATTATGAACATACTGAAGGCAATGTATATGTACATCACAAAGTATTACTGAGTCCTATTTCTGTTGTTTGTTATTAGCAGTAATACTGATACAGAGTTACATCACTGGTAAGGACACACTACACAGCTGAAGTCTTTCACTCTGTACAAGTCTATTCCCTCTTTCTCCAGTCTTCCACACCATATCTTATGGACAAACTACTGATGGAGGCGTTATCAGTGCCCCCTCCATTATCCTTGGGTTGCGATTGAAACTTGATTTCACCAGTCTGTAGGGATATACAGTACATCTCTTGAAAGATCTTTTTCCTCTTCATCCTCGAGCTGATTGTATAACTTACTTCCCAGTTTTCTTCCACCAAGTCTATCTTTTCCCTGCAAACAAGGGAGCACTGGTACAGATTGACTAAAGAGTTTGTGGAGTCTCCCTCGAAGATCTTCAAAAGCCACCTGAACACAGTCCTGGGTAGCTTTCTCTGGGTATTCCTTCCTGAACAGGGGTGTTGGACTAGGTGACCTCCAGAAGTCCCTTCCAATCTCAACCATTCTGTGCTTCTGTAACAGTTTCTTACTGTACAACAAACAGCTTGCATAACAGAACAGCTTGCGTAGAAGCTTTAACCTTGAATAGTCAAGAGTGCTCTTCTACTTCCCTTCAGAGGCCAGACCAACTTGTTTTGAAGCTTAGTGTTCCTACTGAATTATTTGCTCATGCAATACCTAAATGTTTGTGTACTAGAAATGCTTATTTTTGAATGATCAAACCTTCTTCTAGTTTCAGTGGTACTTCTTTCAATCAGTCTTTAAAATGTCTAAAAAAGGACTTACATACTTGATTTTAAATTCTGAAAAACTGTGTTTTTGATGTCTCTTTAAAGCCCATGAGACATCAGTGATAGAGATGATGTTAACATCCCAGATGCTCTGATTGCGCTTCCTTCCCTTTAATTAAATTATTGCACAATATATCCTTGTAGCACACTTAGGTTGTTTGCTTGTTTTAACTTTAAAAGATACAGAACTGACCAAAAAACAAAAACAAAAAAAACAAAAAAAACCTGAAGCAAAGATCAATTTGTGTCATACTATCACAGATAATTGCTATTTCAGGTTATAAGTTGACCAAAGACTGCTGGACTACCACTGTAGTTGACTCATGCTTCATATTCTTTCTCACGGTACAAGTCTGAGTCTGATAGAATACTTAGATTAACCTTGACTTGACCCCTTGTAAAAGGATTGGGCTGACATCTTTGTATTCATATGTGTAGTAGATAGTATGCATTCCATCTATGACAGAGTTTAAGTTGAATTATCTTCTTTAACTATCCCAACTGTGAGAATGAAGTAGTACAAATACAGTACATTTTATATGATCCTATCTAAGTTAAGTCAAAACAGTGGTCCATGTACTTAATGGCGTAGAAATTGGACAACTGCTACTAAAACCATTGGACAGTGCTTGAGAAGAAGGGAGAATGGCATTATGTGGTCATTTTGAAACTAGGATGTTATCAGTAGATCAACTGTTGGGCTTTTACTGTTGAGCTATTGGTCAACTCTCAAAATGATATGGTAAATTCACTTTTCTGATACCTAGCCATCCTACTGTAACGAGGATGTTATATTGTTGTTTTAGATACGAGCAGGTCTTCAACTCCAGCCACACTAGCTTCTGACCCGGCTACTTGTCCCATTATTCCTGGATGTGAAACAACCATTGATATCTCCAAAGGATGGACTGGTCTTGGTCTAAGTATAGTTGGAGGAGCGGACACTTTGTTGGTGGGTTGGAAAAATATATATAATTCACATGAATTAGTAATAATGAAATTAAAAGAGGTTTTATCTTCCTTTCTTTTTGTAGCATTTATAAAAAGATACTAAAGCTAGCCTTTTAGGGAAAAAAAAAAAAACATATATATATATATATGTTTGAGATTGGAAGTAAATTAACTTCTTAAATATTTTGGTAATTTTTTCATCATTCTTCTGGCTCTTCATCACTGTTCATCACTACTGAATTTTAGAAGAAATTTTCCATTGGTCTTGCTTCACAGTTTGGGGAATTTTCTTCCAGCATGCAGCATATTTTTGTTGTTTATCTGCAGGGAGCAATCATTATCCATGAAGTATATGATGAAGGAGCAGCTTCAAAAGATGGGAGACTCTGGGCTGGGGATCAGATATTAGAGGTACAGTGGTTGATTTTATCTCTGTTTATTGTCATTTGCTATCTAGATATATTTTATTTGTCTGTTGGACAGTCCTTCATAGTTTACCAATGTATGCTTTCATTGTAGGTGAATGGAATTGACCTCAGGAGTGCCACACATGATGAAGCAATTAATGTTCTCCGCCAGACTCCCCAGAAAGTTCGTCTGACTGTGTACAGAGATGAGGCACAGTACAAGGAGGAGGACATGTATGATGTACTCACCATAGAGCTCCAAAAGAAGCCTGGCAAAGGCCTTGGGCTGAGTATAGTTGGGAAAAGGTATGAATGTACAAGGACAGTCAATGTCTGGAACTTGTTAGGCGTGCTTGGTTTTTTTTTGGTGTGCATTGCTCAGATCCTTTGGGCTTTATTGGCAGTACATGTCATTTTTATGCTTTTCCTAGAGGAAGTAGCCTAAAAAAGTAAGATGATGTTCAATGCATTCCCAATTACAAGCCAATAAAATCACCCTTAAACAGTGTTGTAATACAGAACGTATGTGTTTTTACAGAAATGATACGGGGGTGTTCGTGTCAGACATCGTCAAAGGTGGAATAGCAGATACAGATGGGAGATTGATGCAAGGAGATCAAATATTAACAGTGAATGGAGAAGATGTTCGAAACGCTAACCAGGAAGCTGTTGCAGCTTTGCTAAAGGTATCAAGAAAACAGGAGGTGGTTAAAAGTGAAGAGCTGAAATCCAGATTTTTTGAAAGCTTGAATTTTATTCAGTCCATATTCAGACTCTTCCTGCAGTGTCAGTGGGAATGAACTTTGGATCTGAATTTAATTTCCTGAAGGCTAGAGCGGTCATATTTTCATAGTTTGTCTGATGAAAATGGGAATAGTGGTAGTAGAGATTCTTATACACTTACAAGGCAATAAAAGGCCATTAGTTAGATACAGCATTAAGTTTTAGTTTGCTCTTTTTTCTCAAAAAAAAATCACATTTGTTTAGCTTTCTCACATTTTTAAAAACTTATTCAGAATTGATTTTAAATGATAGAGAAGTCGTTAGAGTAGTTATATCAAAAGGTGATTACTTACAAAGTTAATGTTCTTTTATTTTTCCCTACTTACGTCTATTGTAACCTTACATCAACTAAATGTTATAATGCCTTTCTCAGCGGGAAGGGCATCTAGCATAAGAAACTGCTTTGCCACCAAAATAACTGAAGTAACCTCTCGTCTGCTGCTCTCAGAACCAGAATTTCTGTTCTCAGCAAATTCTTCTTATCTGATCTCCGCTCTCTACTTCAAAATCAGAATGAAGTCATATATGCAACATTTTCTGTGGTTTAGCTGGATGTTCAGCTGGTAGCCAACTTATCTGTCTTCTGTTTAGAGTTTTGAGACATTCCTGCTTTATATCAAGATTCCATTTCCATTCATCATTTTCCAATGAAAATGTTAACTTTAAAAATTTTAACAGCCACTATTCATAGCTAACTGTTTGGTACACAGACACGATTATGCTTGTTCACATTACATGCACAGCTAAATTTTTCCAGATCTTTAACGTTTCTCATCTTTTTTAAGTTTTTTTTTTTTTTTTTTTTTTTTTGTAGTCCTGTGAAATGTGACTTTCAAAATATTTCATGTATATAATTATTAACAGTTCTATTTATTTCACAAAGTACAAATGGAATAAACTCACAGATAGGCAATCTTTTTTAGTTTAGGTATCCATTCTGCTTCCATTCACATGAGTTAGATCTACAGAGAACTGTCTTGTATTGCCTAATATATATTTTTGGTTAAGTTATTTACAATCTTTAGAAAACCTAAAAGTACTTCAGCTCATATAAAACCATATACTTCAGCTCATATAAAATGTCCTTAAGCTGAAAATGCATCCTGTTCTAACAGTGTTGTTTAGTTTTGTTTTCTAAGTATCCCTAAAATGTGTGAAAATTTGATAGTTTTGCTTCCTCATTTGACTGAAGGGTTTGTCAGATAGAGGACTCCAGGAAAAAAGGCTAAGCCATAAAAGACTGTGAATTCACTTAATCACAAGTTCAGGTGGAAAGTGTTACCTCTTACCTTCACACATAATAATTTTTAAACCTCATTTGTAGGTTTGCATTTTATGTGAGGATGTGGCTATTGTAGGTATATAGGTTACTGGCTCAGTTTTCTGTGTGGTTTAATGTGAGCCAATTCAAACAATCAGGAAAGACTGCTTTAGCATATGACTGATCAAGTCTTTTCCAGGACATATAAATCACTGAATCATAGAATTGCCTGGGTTGAAAAGGATCATTGAGCTTCAGCCCCACTGCTATTTGCAGGGTGACCAACCACTAGACCAAACAGCATTATTTGGAAAAAAAAAAAAAAAAAAAAAAAAAAAAAAAAAGACAATTTAGTAATAAATCTCTTTTAATGTCACCTCTGAGAAAATATTTATAAGATATGCTAGCTACAGTAATGTTGCAGAAGTGCTAAATCACAGCCTGAAACAGTGATTGAGCAGTTGTTGGGAAGGCAGGGCTAATCAGGGGAGCACAGGTGCATGTTCAGGTGCACCTGAGTGACTGGAAGGCATGAGTCAGGATCCACATCTTCTCAGACCTCATGTGAGGGATGTCAGTGGAGGTGAGGGCATCTCTCACTGGAGATTCCTACCTATCTGAGGCCCTCCAGAGATAGGCAGCTCCTTTCCTTCATTTCTTTGTCTGTAGCCAAAGACTTTGCCACCCCACTGTTAACGTGGTACTTTTCATCCCATTATAGCGTTACAAGTAGTTTGGAAATTCTGTTAGAATGGGTATGTTCTGTTGTTAATTTTCATATATTGACCTATTTATTGCTGTGAATTTTCTGACATATTTATAATCCTTTCATAGGGTAATACAAGTAACCCATGTTAAATAAAGGCAGACTTCTGTGACAGAAAGTTATTTGGCTCCATAGATACAGGGATTCATAGTAAGAACTTCCCCACTAAAAGAAAGAGGGAAAAGCAAAATAGCAAAAATTTCTATATTTGATTATACTTCAAGTAGATAGTTTTTGATGATACTTGTACCATTTGGGAAGTCCAGTTTTCTGATGTTTTTTTGAGATACCCCTTTGCTTATGTGTTATCAAAGTCTTGGTTTCTAAATGGTTGTTTGCATAGTGAATTTTGTTCTGAGCTATGCATTCCATGCAGATGTATGAACACTCAGTTGTACATTTAAAAACTCAGTGCCTAACAGTAGGATTTTGCGATGTACAAACAATTTGTATCACTGTAGTCCCTGACAGGAGTCAGATGTAGAAAGTCATTTGAATTGCATGTGGGTATTTGAAAAACTGCCTGCCCGACCTGCTGGTCAAATTGAAGGCCAAGAAGAAAATGCCTCAGTCTTCTCTGATAATTTCTCACCCCACAGCCCTTAAACATTTGCAGTGGTAGGAGAGGATCAGGGTAGCAACTGTCCCTCTCACTGTAAGTAGAAATCAAGTTCCTGACCAACTGAGGGGACCTAAATCAAATCTATGGGTGCCAATGAGGTTCATCCCAGCCACTCTATGACATCTGAAAAGTCATGGCAATCAGGTGAAGTCCCCGGTGACTGCAAAAAAGGCCTTCCAGAATTTAAAGGAGAGATACAGAGAAGAAGGGGGCAGACTCTTTAGCAGGGTTTCTGGTGACTTTCACCGTGGCAACCTGATCCAGCTGTGAATGTCCCTGTTTATTACAGGGGAGATGGAACAAGTGGCCTTCAGAGGTCTTTTCCAACTCTGGTCTTGTATAATTCTATGATTCTGTATCAACAGAAATATTAATCAATACTTTGAGGTTTTGTAATGCTGCTGTACTTATTGTGAAAGTACTCCACTATTATAATTCTTTGAAAAACATCACCTTGAAGATGCTTGTTGATGTTACTACTTAGAAGCCAGAATTACTTATTAAGGAAAAGGTAACAGAAATGCACTTCTTGTATAGTCTTTGTGTCTATATTGGAATGGTATACTACCAATAATATCATTCAATCACAGTTGGTATGATTCTGATTCTTCCATGATCTTTGTACAGTTCTCATTATATAGAGTTGTTAACCTTATATTTTACCCTCTGTCCCTATTTTTTCTTCTACCAAGTAAATATTGTCATAAGCTTTAATGTTTTGGGTACTAGGGATTAATCTTAATTTTTTTTTTTTAGTGTTCATTAGGTACAGTAAGACTAGAGGTTGGAAGAATAAAAGCTGGTCCATTCCACTCTGAGAGGAGAACATCCCAGAGCAGCCAGGTTTGTAACTGTGCAACCACTTCGTTTGGAAGAAATAAAATGTGGTGGAATAATGAAAGCAAATAAAAGGAACTGATTTTATGATGACAGTGATTTTCCACACACAAAATGAATAAAAGTAGTAAATTCAGGTTTAGGTTAGATGTTGGAGGAAAATTTTTCTTTCTGAGGGTGGTGAGGTGCTGAAACAGGTTGACCAGGAAAGTTGTGGATCTCCCATCCCTGGAGACGTTCAAGGCTAGGCTGGATGGGGCCCTGGGCAGCCTGTTCTATATGCCTGCTGTATATTTAGAGGTTGGCAACCCTGCCCATAGCAAGGGGTTGGAAGTAGTTGACTAGTAGCTGACTGAGTAGGTCCTTTCCAACCCAAGCCATTTTATGGTTCTGCATACTTTGCAGATTTTTTTTTTACCTCTTTTGTATGTTCATTTTAGTTTGTTATCTGTTAAGTACATTATCCAGCCTAGAGTTTACTCCAAAAATAACTCTTCTGTTTTGTCTAGTGTGACTTTTAGGACTCTTGTTTGTGAAGCAGAGTCAACTGTTAGTGTCATCAGTACTAGAACAAATTTAAGTGGGCACTGAATCTGTTTGATACCTTAGTAGTAGAGTGGAGTGTTGTTCCAGTAAACTGCACTCTTTTCATTAGACTTGTCCTATGTTTATTCATTTTTTCATTGGTTAACTGTAGAGCATTACAGCTCACATCAGTTTCTGCATCTGAGTGCATGTTTCATGGGATAGCAGGACACTGTGATTCTTTGCAGAACTTTCCATCAGGATTTCCAGTATGAGCAATTTCTGAAAACTCGCTAGTTACCTTAGAACTTTTTGTTGTTATAAATTGAGTATGCAGATGAATGGCTGAATATGAATATAATTAAACAGGAACTTTTTTTTAAGTTTGAAGTGAGGAGGTTAACACTGGATAAGGACTGAAATGTCTTTCTTCAAAAAGGGATAATCCCAATCCACTTGAAAACAGGCAGGTTCTGAGTGGTCTTAATTTAAGCTGTTGGGTAAGAGAAGGCTTAACCATATTGAATGTTTTGAAGAGTCTGTAGGATTGAGATATGTTGTTCCTTTATGTTATCCTGCAGGTATAGTGAAAATCTTTCAGGAAATGCGTAGGTGAACCTGAATGGAGAGCATAGTTTTAGCTGATGGAGTGTCTGGAAGAATGTGAGATAGGCATGCGGATGCATAAAGTTCTGTCTTATGTATTGTTTCCCAACCGTAATAATAGTGGCTATCTTTTTTTTGCCAGATGGTCTCCTGAACTGATAGAATAGGGGTACAGTCTGGTCCTTGAAAGTAGACTGTTATGTGGGGCTGCAGTCATGCAATCTATGTTGTCCTAATTGTATTTCAAACAAGGAGCTATCTATTGTTCAAGAGGTATATGGAGGTTTGGTGTGTCAGCTTTAGCTGTGCACAGAAAAAGTAGCAGTAAAATGCAGTAAAATACACTGAATGCAGTGGCATATAATTTTACTTCTATCAAACTGGGAGTCTGAGGCAACTCAGTAATCCTAGTTTAACATTATATTTAGGTCAGTGAAGGAAGTGGCAGTCTCTCATCCTTCAGCATTCCAGCTTCTACTTCCAGCACACCTGAGGTCTTTGAAAGTGGTCTGAAGAAGAATACTGGTAAGTTTTCTTTGTTCCTTCCTCTAATTTATATCTGTGAATTGGTAAATGAGATGTTCTCTAACACTTTGTTGTTATATACTGCAGACTTAACAGTACCAGTCATTGAAGTGCCACAGGAGTTGTTATTGTACTGTACATTGTATATCTCTTCAAATTACTTGTAAAAAAAATTAAAGTTGTTACACCAGCAGATTAGATGATGAGAGTCTAAATTTACCCAGAAATCTTATTTAGTCTGAGAATATTGAATAATTACTCTCTCTGTCTCATTTTTGGGAAATATGTGGTCAGTTCTGGATACTGTGTAGTTTAATTATTTAGGTCACTCCAAAAATAATGCCTCCTATTTTTTCCATGGAAACTACAACAGATATAAGGAATATAGTAACACTATTTGATAGAGCAAATTCTGAGCTACAAAACATTATTTTTCAACATAATTATCTACATTAATAGACTAGTAAAGTAAAAATCTGCACCAGTGTAAGTGACCCACTATTTCACAGCAGCTATGACTGTGTTATCACTAGTTGCTCGTGCAGCCCATTTTCACTGGCCCAAACAGATGGAAATCAGAAGGCACCAAATTTGGGTTGTATGATGGAACAGTCCAGCCAAGACTGAAAACATTCTCTGTAGTCTTCAAACTGGTGTCAGGCCTGGCACTGTCATGTTATAGGAGAAAATTTGTCTTCTCTGGCCTTACTGTGGAAGTTTGAGCTTTCAGGTTAATCAGCATTGTGATGGAGCTGTCAGAGTCGATGATATGTCTGGATTGTAGGAAATTCAGAAGGATCTCCCCTTTTCTACTCCAACAGAAAGTCCACATCATCTTACCCACCAAAGATTGTGTCTTAATTTTTTTTTTCCAGTGGAGAATATATGTGTTGCCATTCCATGGGCTGCCACTTCTTGTCACCTGTAATGTTGTGATCCAGGAAACTGTCACCTTCATTGTTGTATTGGTTCCATACATCCTGACAAATTTGCATACTGTTTTTTTTCTATTCCTGTGAGCATTTATGGGACCCGCCTGGTGTAAACTTTGTGATATTGCAGCATTGTCACCATACCTTCCAACACAGTGAAACTGATATTCAGCTCCATACACAGTTCCGTGGTTGTAATTGGCCAGTTAGTATGGATAAGCTGATCAACTTTTTCTGATGCGAAAACTGTGCGTGATTACCCGGAACACAGCTTATCTTTCACATTGCAGTCATGACTGCTGAAGTGCTCTACCCACTGCCTCACTGTGCTCACATCCACTGTTTGGTCTCCACAAACACTCAGTGAACATCGATTTTGTCATTGGGTGCCTTTTTTTCTGCGTTAGCCCCATGTTTTATTCTGGCGCATTTTCGTGTCAGACGCCATTTTGTCAACTGCCCCTTTGCTGCTGTCTGTCTAAGGACAAGAGAACATAATGGAATATTGACTTCCAGTTTGACCTCTATTTCCATACCACCACCATCTGCCTCTGATATTGTGGGCCAACATAATAAAATATTAGCAGCTCTTGTAGAATAGATGTGGAATAGATCTCCAGAGATCAGACAGTAAAGTGATTCCTGAGCCAAGTATTACTATCAAATAATAATTTTTCTATTATATTTGGGAGTTACCTAGTTGATATTAATCTAAACATCTTTAGAACTGAGAGAAAGAATGGCTTTCTGAACTATTCTAGAAGTATTTCAATCTTATTAATAGTATTTAAATCCTATTAACAAGTAATTTCAAAAATTTTAAAAACATAAAATAAAATAGTAGAAAGCTGGAATCATTGTAGTGGTTTGGACAACTCATAGAAAAATTTTCTTAAGATGATAGTTCACCTTTTTTTTTTTTTAATCTATTTGACAGCAGCTTCTGAAATACAGGGACTAAGAACAGTTGAAATAAAAAAGGTAAGTTACAGGAGTTGGTGTGGTAATATTTAATTTTTTTACAGTGTGATTTCCAATGCTTTTATCTTTATGTAAAATAAGTTGTGACTTATGCCAACAAATTTAAAACAGAGGGAAAGACAATTATGGTATGAGGTAATGGGACCTAGTTCTACTTTTATCAAATGGAGTTAAATCCAGACTGAGTTTTAGTGAAGACGTGGGAACTATACCAAATGTTAAAGTCTATTCTTTTGGATTTCACATTTGTCTTGATGCGTATTTTTAATGGGTAGGCTTTTACATGACAGCTCCTAGCTTTTCAACTGAAGTTCAGTTGACTTCTGTTATTTATAGGAGCACGAGTGCTAAGCTGCAGACTATTTCTGATTGTCTAAAACACACATTTCATTTGATTTTGCCTGGTTATCTGTTTTTCTTGGTAGCAGGATTGTGTTTAGCAATTCTCTTCATACAGCATAATCTGTTAATTCATGATAGCGTTTCTGGTGATCAGGTAGTCCAGTGTTCTGCAGTGGTGAATAGCTAGTTTTGTTCTGATCTGTAGGAGGCCAATAGAAGAAGATTAATGATAAAGGACAATCAGTCTTGTGTGTAATGTTTTCTTTGCCCAGATATGCCAACTTCTGTAAGTATTCAGTTTGGCAAGGAAAAGCTACAGATGAGACAGCAGATCATCAACTGCCACTAAATACTGTGTTCTTTGTGCTTTCCTCAAATGTATTAACTTCAAAAAATGGCTTGAGGTAAAGTCATTCTGATTTTCATGAGATAGGATTTGTAAGACAAGCCTGCAATTCTGTATATATTCTTCCTTCCAGAAAAAAAGTATTTATCTATCTGTCTATCTATCTATCTATCTATTTATTTATTTTCATGACAATAACAGGGCCCAGCAGATTCTCTAGGAGTGAGCATTGCTGGAGGTGTAGGAAGTCCTCTTGGAGATATTCCTATATTTATTGCCATGATGCATCCCAATGGAGTTGCGGCTCAGACTCAGAAACTCAGAGTAAGTTAATTATTAGTGTTGTGGTTTCAGTGCAGGAGGGATGATTCATGGTGTTGGATTATTGCATGCTGCAGCCATTTCTGGCTCCATCAGAATTCGTTCTTCTTTAAATGGTTCTTATTGTAGTACTGGTGATTAGGTATATAACAACCATAATAATTACTACATGCAGTATTATGTAGCAGTTAGCATCATACAACTCAAATTATTGGCTGTTCTCACCCAGCATCAAATCTATTCGAGGTGCACAATGGATATCTCCATCCTTCTACATTACCCACCAAATGCATCCAAGTCCTTGAGCAAAAGCAGTCCCACAAATGGGCATCCACTGCTTTCAGCATAGTCTTTAACAGTCCATTCTGCTGTTAGATTTTAGCAGGGCTGGTAGGGGATGCAATATACCCCCTCAAAGCCATGCTCTTTGGTTCAAATGTTTACAAGGTTGTTTCAGAAATGAGTCCTGTTTTCTGATTCAGTTCTGTCTGGGATGCCATGTCTCCACAAGACTTTCTTTTCAAGATCCAGATTAGTATTTCAGATGGTGGAATGGGACATAGGATTCTTCCAGCCGTCCTGTGGTTGCTTCCATTATAAGCACACGGCATTTGCTGTTGTAAGTTTGTGAGGGTGTGATACAATCCACCTACCAGGCCTCCCTGGTATTTATATTTCAGCCATTGTTCTCCATACCAGAGAGGCTTTGTCTGCTTGGCTTCCTTAACTGCAGCAAGTTTTACGTTCGTAGATAATCTGTTCAGTAGTGTCCATTGTGAAATGTACCTCTTGATCTTGAGCCCATCTGTAGTTGCATCTCTTTCTTGATGGCTTGAGGTGTCATGGGCACACTGAACTAGAAATTAGTCACCCATATGTTGCCAGTCCAGATTTACCTGAGCCACTTCAATTCTAGGAGCCTTATCCTCCTGTTTTTCAGTGGCCTGGTTCTAGGCTACATGGACATCTACCTGACAAACTTTTACAGCCATGTTGTCTACCAGGCAGCAAAATCTTTCCTTGATGCAGCAGCCCAGATGGGCTTGCCTCTGTGCTGCCAGTTGTTATGCTTCGATTGCTGTGACCATCCTCAGGGCATTTGCCACCTCCCAGGAGCAACTGCCAATTCTTCTGCTTAGCAATATCTACAGCCTTCACTTCTGCAAATTGACTCAGTTCACTTTTTCACTCACTGAGTAGGGCTCCAAAGGATAGCCTTCCACCTCTGATGCCTTCCCACGTTACGACAGGGCTTATAAGTGAACAAGGCATATTTCTCCTCATCTTCTGGCAATTTATAATGTAGTGGAATCTCTTCAGCATGCATCACCTTCTCCTCTGGTGATATTCTGAAATCTTTGCTTTCACCCTGGTCCAAAATAATTTCTAAGATTCCTTGAATTCCTTATTTGAGCCGATTGTGTGACCAGTGTCAGACACGGCAGTTGTTTAATTGATCACATCCATACAGTCTGACGACATCCATCTTGCCATTTTATTCCTAAGAACTGGATCTCCTGTGCAGGCCCCTTGACTTTTGCTTTGTGGCAAAATTGGCTTTCACTAGGATTTTAATTATTTTCTTCTCTTTCTTAAAAACTTCTGTGTTGCCCCACACTATTTGTCAGTGATTGGTAGTAACCAACATGGCTTCATCACAGACTGATCATGCCCTGACAAACTTTGTGGTGGAGTTGCAGTGTCAGTGGGTAAATGAAGGGCAGCTGATATAATCTATCTGGACTTGTGCAAAGTGTTTGGCACTGTCCTGCACAACATTCTGGTCACCACATTGGAGAAAAATGAATTTGATAGATGACCACTTGCTGGATGAGGAACTGGTTGTATAGTCACACACAGAGAGTTGCAGTCAAGAACTCAATGTCCAAGTGGAGGCTGGTGACAAGTGGAGTTCCTTAGGGATTGGTGCTGGGACTGGTGCTGTTTAACATCTTTGTAGGTAACATGGGCAGTGGGATTGAGTAGCACCTTCAGCAGGTTTGCAGGTGATGCCAAGCTAAGTAGTGCAGTTGACACTAGAGGGAAGGGATGCCATACAAAGGAACTTGATCAGGCTTGAGAGGTGGACCCATGCCAACATCATGAAACTCAACAAGGCCAAGTGCAATGTCCTGCACCTGGGTCATGGTAATCCCAAGCACAAATACAGGCTGGAGAATTGCTTGAGAACAGCCTTGAGGAGAAGGATTTTTGAGGATGTCAGTTGATAAAAGACTCAGCATGAGCTGTCAGTGTGTGCTTGCAGTCCAGAAGTCCAATTGTATCCAGAGTTGCATCAACAGAAGAGTGACCAGCAGGTCGAGGGAGGTGATTCTGCCCCTCTACTCTGCTCTCATGAGACCCCAGCTGGAATACTGCTTCCATTTCCCCCCAGTGCAAGAAGGACATTGAGCTGTTGGAGTGTGTCTAGAGAAGGGCCAGGAGGATGATTAGAGGGCTTAAGCACCTCGTTTGTGGGGACAGTCTGAGGGAGCCAGGGCTCTTCAGCATGGAGAAGAGAAAGCTCCAGGGGATCTTACAGTGGCCTTCCAGTCCCTGAAGGGAGCTGGAAAACAGGAAAGCTGAGGGATGTTTTATAAGGGCATGTAGTGACAGGATGAAGAGGAATGGCTTTCAACTGAAAGAGGGTAGATTTGCACTAGATGTTAGGAAGAAATTATATACTGTGAGGGTGGTGAGACACTGGAGCAGCTTGCCCAAACCAAAGGGGGTTGTGAGAACCCCCTTCTTGGAGGTTAGCAAGAGGATTGGAACTAGATGATTCCTTCTAATCCCAACTGTTCAATGTTTCTGTGATTATATCGTCAATGCACTGCAGACATTCAGTAGCTTTGCCTCTGGTCCAGTCAGTCTGGATCAGCCCATGGCAAATGACAAGGCTGTGTTTCCAGCTCTGGGGGAGTTGTTTACTGATGCACTGGATGCCCTTCCAGGTGAAAGTTAATTGTGGCCTGCACTCTACCACCAAAGGGATTGAGGAAAACACATCATCAATTTCAGTTGTGCTATACCACTCGGCTGCCTTTGTTTCCCATTGATATTGAAGTTGTAGCATGTCTGGCACTGCAGCACATAGCAGTGATGTGACTTCATTCAGGCCACAATACTCCATTGTGAAATTCTGTGATGAAGAGTGGAGGCTAACACTGTCCTTATGGGACTATTGATGGATGGCTGAATCTTGCTGGTGCTGAATCTTCTTGGTTCTCCAGCTGATGAATGGAAATCATGTGAAAAAGTGTGTTTAAAGCCAGAAGGCTCATTGTTAACCTCAGAAGTAAGGTCAGACCATCTACTCTGATTAGAGATCTGCCCATTGGAAACCAGAGCTGTCATTTTTGGGGAGAACCCTCTCATGTGTTTTCCCATGCAACTCATGTATCCATGCCTCCAGAATCGACGCAGGTTTTCCATCCCACTTCCTCTCTGTGATGATATAGGTAAAACCACAGAATAGCATGTGGTGTGTACCCACTATCCTTTTCCTGATTAGAGGAATACTTCTAATGGGTGAGATGTTGGTTTGTTTCACCACTGAACCAGTTTGTTTTCCTGAAGCTGTTGAATCAGTTGAACCATATCTGAGACACAGGTCCCTGGGGAGAAAAAGAGATTATCTTGATTTCGTAAAAGTAGGCAAGCCACTTCATCTATCCACCATTCTTTTGTTATCTTTCCAGTTTGCTCCTGCCAGGATTCTGGCAGACAACGATGGTGCATTCCATGTAGCACTCCACCACATACATTATGTACATGTGATGTCATCTGGATCTTGGAATAGAGCATTATCATCCAAGCTAATATCATACATCATCTTTACCACAGCACTTTCCGTCAAGTACTTTCATCATGGTGATCCTTTTGCCTGAGTAACATTCCTTGAAGGGAATGTCTTTCTTTCCCAGCTGACAAGAGTCACTGCCGTAAAGTGAAAGACTGTATATCTTTTCCACCTGCTTTGTCTGTGCTACTTTTCCTAGAAGGAGATCCCAGCTGCTGGCCTTTGCTGCTTGCTAAGTCCAGGCTGTTGACTCCACTGTCTCAGCACCAGAGCAGCTGTATAGGATCTGCCTGGCTGATGGCCATGATTTTTTCACGTATAGAATCATAGACTATGAACTAAATCATGTTGGTAGCTTGGTAAAAGGTAGCTGGTGAAAAATACTAACTTCGGAAATGAGTCTTAAGGCAATCTTGGATCACAGAAGTGGTGAGCTTTTAAAAATTCATGATGGGGAAACTGATTCAGAATCCTGCAAGTGAACTACAGAGATGAGTTATTTGTGTAACTGCATCTATGCAATTTTCTTCACACCTCATGTTTTCTGCTTATCTAAAAATAAGAGCAGTTTTTTTTTTTTTTTTTTTTTTTTTTTTATGCTGGGTTAAAGCAGGAGGTTTCGACTCGCACAGTGCTTACGTATGTAGTGTACTAGAAATTGTGGAATTAAACTACTGCTGTTTGGAGAATGTACAGTGTTGGTTCAGGATGAATTTAAACATATGTTCTCTTGTGATAATCTGTCACTTCAACCTATCTATATTCAGGTGATGTGCTATATGATTCTGTATGATTCATCTATCCTGTAAATTACTTTTTACTCTGAACACACTACAACTAAGCAATAATTTGCAAGTTTTTATGTCAGATTTTCTACCTTTGTGTCACTTCATTATGTGACTCAATGATACTATGTCTTTGAGAGAGAATGTACCAAAAAGAGTTGCTGATTTCTTTCTTTCTGCTATGTGTCACTAGATACAGTGATAATTTCTAGCTAAATCCAGATACTCAAATCTGCTGTTATCAAAAGAAAATGCTAAATATATATATGCAGCTAAACCTCTTAGTGGTAGTTATATTATCAAGGTTTTCTTCTACAGGTTGGGGACAGGATTGTTAGCATCTGTGGAACATCTACTGAGGGCATGACTCACTCCCAAGCTGTTGGCATATTAAAAAATGCTTCAGGCACTATTGAGTTGCAGGTAAAAAAAATCTTTAGTATTATCTGGAATATTTTTTAAATGTTATTTTGCCAGTTGTTATGGTGAATTATTTTAGTATCACCATTCTCATTTTACAGACTTTTTTTAATTCACTTTACTGAACTCTCTCCTTAGGTGGTTGCTGGAGGAGATGTGAGCGTCATAACTGGTCAGCAGCAGGATCCACCTACATCCGGTCTTTCACTTGCAGGACTAACTGCAACAAGCATTTTTCAGGATGATCTAGGGTCAGTAACTATATAATACACAACCTTGGTAGCCTTTTACTTCAGGTGAAACTTGGCATAAAATGTGTACTAATTCCGTCAGATGACTGATGAATTGTTTGACTTAATCACCTTTGATATATTTGGCACCTTGTAGGTCCCATTCTGCATTTTTCCATGGTGCAATTCACTGCTGCTTTTTTTCTTGTCTACTTTGGAACTAAAATGTGACTTCATTTTTTTCTCTTTAAATAAATTCTTTATTGAGTTTTGGCAGCTCAGATTAGTTGATTTGCCCAAAATGACTGTTCTCAGGCTTAAATAGCCAAGTCCTTTCTACAGTGGTACTTTCCTTCATGTGCTTTCTAACACTAGAATATCAAGAGACACTGAACTTTTCATGTGTACATGGTATACCACTACTGGTAGACTACAAAAGCCAGCAGTGTAAAGAAGAGTTGCCTCAATGTAGGTTATCAATTTGAGACATTTTTATAAGCACAGGAAGAGAGAACAAGATTCTTTAGCTCCACAGAAGTATGAAGGCTGCCCTAAAAGTAATGCCTCCTATTTTTTTTTTATTTTGGCCCAGAACATCAGGGGCAGATTTTGGTGGTATGGCAGTAGAAGTTGAATGTCCCTGCCAATATTGGTTACATTTTGTCATTATGTGACTGATGGCAGCATTGGGTAATCTGGCAAAATGGTGTCTGACATAGAAGTCGGTATGAGAGAAAGGTGTCCTTGAATTCCTCCATGTGGAATAAATGGCACCCACTGACATTCAGTGATGCTGAATGTTTATGGAAGCCTAACAGTGATGTAAGCACAGTGAGACAGTGGGTGATGCAATTCAATAGTGGTGACAGTGGGTCATCTCTACTAGTGCAGATTTTTACATGTGCAGCATGCAGACTCACTGCTGGCAAAAATGCATGGTTAGTGGTAGTGACCATGTGGAAAAACAGTATTTTGTAGCTGAGAATTTGCTCTGTCAGATAGTATTGTTGTGCTCCTTGCTGTAGTTTCCACAGAAATAAGTAGGAGATATTACTTTTGGAGCAGCCTACACTCTTCAAAAGATAGAACTTCAAATGTTTATGTAGTCAGAGTATATGTTTGGAGATGTACTATAAATTGTCTGTATGAACACATACACAAATGCACAATCAGGTATCAAAGAAGGAGAAAAGCAATTAAACCTTGCAACATAACTGTGAGTCAAATTTTGGGTTACAGGTTTTTTAAAGTATGTGATCATTAGGAACATTTGAGATAATTGTATCAGATCTCTGTGTACCCGCTAAGCACTATTAGTGCAACATTGCAGCAGTAACCATCTTCTGAGCTGGGTGAAAACACTATGAAACAAGTATTTGAAATAACTCACTTAAATGGGGGCATTAGACTGAATTAGTGTTCTGCATTAACAAAAATAATCATAAAGTTCATATTTACAGCGGAAAAGAAGAGAAAGGAAGATATATTGCTTAGCTAGAAAGGTGAAATGCTTTTTGTTGACAACATTCTAATGTAAATAATTTATTTAGACAGCATAGCAATATTGTTTTCTGTTTCATTAGACCTCCTCAGTACAAGACCATTACTCTGGAGAGAGGGCCAGATGGCCTAGGCTTTAGCATTGTGGGGGGATATGGCAGTCCCCATGGAGACTTACCCATTTATGTGAAGACAGTATTTGCAAAGGTAAGAGTATGTTTGTTCAATTGATCCATTTATTAGTTCACAGTAAGTAGTTTCTTAAAATACGAGTTTGAGACTAAAGGATTACAAACAGTTTTTCTTCACAGCTTTTCTTGCCCAGTGCAAGTTCGGTTCAAAAAGATCTTGCAGCTTTTGAAGTTATAGGAAGATTCAAAATTTCCAAATGCATGTGACAGCGTATGGCAGAATCTTTTTCAACTCTAAAAATAGGAAATGTTCAGATACTTTTTCTTCAAGTAATAAAAGGAACCAATGTATTTATTTTCGGTGAGAGTCTGAAAACTAGACTAACATATAATAACTGAACTCATTCTGGGCCTTTGTAGAAATTCAGGTACTGACTCAGCTTTGAACTTTGGCCTGCCATTTGGAAGAGCCCCAAGTCATCAAAAACTGTAGTCAGGAATCCCAAACATTTGTGGTTAGTCAAAGTACAGTACTGGGTTTTGACTATGAGATTTCTAATACCAGTTGCTTAAAGATTTTTCAGGTATTGAAATCTTACTGTGTTAGAGTTTTAAAGTTATATAGGTAGATTGTCAGGGTTAAAGAAATATAAAAAATCACATAGGTCCAGCTTCTAAGTGTTGTGACAACTAGAGAATGCAGAACATACTGCAGTACTAGTAGGTTAATCTGGGATTGATTGTAGTTGAATAATTGACAACCGTAAAAGGTTTAAGGGGATTTGTACAGTGAACTCATCTTATTCAGACCATATTGAATGTGTAGGAGGAAGAAAAATAAATGGATGAGTCTACAATTACATGTTGTATTGTTTCAGGGTGCAGCAGCAGAAGATGGACGCCTGAAGAGGGGGGATCAAATCATTGCTGTGAATGGGCAGAGTTTAGAAGGGGTGACTCATGAGGAAGCAGTTGCTATTTTGAAAAGAACAAAAGGAACGGTCACTTTGACTGTTCTTTCATGAGCTGGCTCCCCAAAGGTGTAGTGTCAACAAGATTATATTATTTTTATTCCACATAGCAAGGAAAACCAAAATGTTTATATAACCTTCTTGCTCTTCCAACTTGTCAGAACTGTGTTACGTCACTGAAGAGAAATAACATTTAATGATATTTTTGTATGCAGTAGAAGTATTACTCATATTGTCGAACAACTGTGATGGAGTAAGTTATCTGTGGCAAAGACATGGATATTTTGCCTAGTAGCACTATAGTGAAAACTTGTAAGCAAAATTGGTGCTTTGAATGTTTGAAATACAGAACAAAAATTACAAAATCACTGAGTTGAAAGGGGTATGACATGAAGAGAAGTAATCAGAAAACAATAAGTTTGGAGAAAAAAAACATTACTAAAATACAGAATTTGAAAAAAGGATGAAAAGTGATCTATGTGAAGGTAGACAGTTGAATATAGGTGGTTATTTGTATTACTGATATAGAAGGAGTTGGGAATGGGGATTGCTGTTCTATTGTTTTTTCCTTCTTTCTGTTTTCTATTTTCCTATTTCCTAAGCCTTGCTGTATCCATAAAGAAAAAGAAAAAAACTCACTTTTTTTGTATGACTTACTGTTGAGAATTGGTTGTTCTATTTTTGTGTTTGTCTGATGGTTTGTTTTTGAGGAGGGGGAAGTGTTCAATTTGGGTGAAGCGCGTTTGTGCTCAGGGCTCAGTGAAAAATCCACTGGCTAGTAGAAATTTACCCTCTTTAAGCAGAGTCCCCAGAAACTGTACTATGGGAAGGATTAGAGTTTTTTCTCCTAGCAATACTGATAACCAAAAATCATAAAACCATGACATTCCACTCATTATTCCACATCACTACATCATGCTTAATATATACAAACAAACCTAATTACCAAACATTAAACACATGCACACACATACATATACAAGAAATTACTGGTCAACATCACATTCCCTTGTGGTACACATTGAACATCCTCATTTTTCTGCATCACCCACCAAGTGGACCCAGATCCTTGAGCAAAAATAGTTTCACAGAGAGAAACACAGCCCTTTCCAGAAGCTGGAAGAACCCAAACCAGTTTCCCAACATGCTCTTTACATGTACTAGAGGGACCTTATCTCCCTCTACAGTATGCATGGAGTTAGATTGGGCAGGACCATCACAATTGATAAATCCTTGAGTATTCACCAACCAGGTGGCTTCTGCCAAATTCTCCCAGTATTTATTTAACTGTTCTACCACCCATTGCTTTCAACATAGTTCTTAAAAACCCACTGTATCAATCGATTTTACCAGAAGCTAGTGCATGACAGGGGGTATAATAAATCCACTAAATGCTGTGATTTTTGGCCCAAGAATTTACAAGGAAATTCCTTAAATGAGTCCCATTATCAGCCTCAATTATCAACTCAATCTCAAAATGAGTGCCATGTCACCACAGGACTTGCTTCTCGAGACCCAGTATGGTGTTTTGGGTGGTAGCCTGGGGTACTGCATATGTTTCAAGCCACCCAGAGGTTGCTTCCAGCATGGTAAGCACATAAAATCACTGCGAGATTGTGGTAAGGTGACATAATCAACCTGCCATGCCTCCCCATATTTATACTTTTGCCATAGCCCTTCCCCCCAGAGAGCTTCATCCTCTTGGCTTGTTTAATTGTGGCGCATGTGTCACAGTCATGAATAACCTGTGCAATAGCGTCCATCCCTCAGTCTCTAGTCCATTTGTATGTTGCCTCTCTTCCTTGATGGCCTGAGGTCTCATGGGCCCACTGAATTAGAAATAATTCACCCATGTGTTGCCAGTGCAGGTCTATTTGAGCCACCTCAATTCTGGCAGCTCGGTTTACCTGATGGTTGTTTTGCTGTTCTTCAGTAGCCCGACTCTTCACATGAGCATCTACATGGCGCACCTTTACAACCATATTCTTTATTCGGGCAGCCTTTCCACAGTTCAGCAGCCCAAATAGATTTACCCCTTCTTTGCCAGTTATTTTGCTCCCACTGCTGTAACCACCCCCATAAGGCATTTGCCACCCATCCATGAATCAGTGTAATGATAGAGCATTGGCCACCTCTCCCGTTAGCACCATCTAAGGCCAGTGGACAGCCTTCACCTCTACAAATTGGCTTGATTCTGCTTTCACTTCAGTGGCCTCTGCAACTTGTTGTGCAGGGCTCCACACAGCAGATTTCCATCTGCAATGCTTCCCCACAGCATTATATGATCCATCTACGAACAGGGTATATTTCTTCTCATTTTCTGGTAGTTCATTGTATGGTGGGGCTTCTAGCATGCAATATCTGTTCTGGTGATGTTCCAAACATTTTGCTTTCAGGCAGTCCATGATCATCTCTAGGATTCTTGGATGGCTGAGGTTCCTCATGCAAGCTCATTGCATAATCCACGCAATTCAGGTGGCATCAGTTGCAGGACGGGTGGAGGGAACATTTCCCTCGAACATCCAGTTCAGCACTGGCTGGTGCCAGAAAGAGCTGTGTTTCAGTACTGACTGTTTCAGAAGCAGCCCAAACCCCCTCATACGCAGATACGATCTCCTTCTCAGTTGGAGTGTAGTGCTCTTCAGAACCTCTGTACACCCGACTCCAAAATCCCAGGGGTCGGCCTCGGGTCTCTCCTGAGGCTCTTTGCCACAAACTCCAAGTGGGACCTTTCTCTCCAGCAGCAGTGTTGAGGATGTCCTTCGCATTCTCTCCCATCCATACTGGCCCCAAAGCCACAGCATGGGCTACCTCTTGCTTAATCTGCTCAAAAGACTGCTGCTGCTCAGGATTGCATGTAAACTCATTCTTCATTCACGTCACATGATAAACTGGGCTTATGATGAGGCTGTAGTTTGGAACATGCATTCTACAAAACCCACTACGCCCAGAAACAATTGTGTCTCTTCCTTATTAGTGGTTGGAGACATGGCAGTGATTTTGTCGATCACATCTGTTGGGATGTGATGACGGCCATCTTTCCACTTTATACCTAGGAACTGAATTTCCTGGGCAGGTCCTTTCACTTTGCTTCGCTTAATAGTGAAACCAGCACGGAGAAGGATCTGGATTATTTGCTCTCCTTTCTCAAAACTTCCTTTGCTGTGTTGTCCCACACAATGATGTCATCAATGTACTGTAAGTGCTCAGGAGCACCTCCCTGTTCCAGTGCACATTGGATCAGCCCATGGCAAATGGTCGGGCTGTGTTTCCACCCCTGGGGCAAATGATTCCAGGTATACTGAATGCCCCTCCAGGTAAAAGCAAACTGTGGCTTACATTCTTTGGCCAAAGGAATGGAAAAGAAGGCATTAGCAATCTCAGTGGTGGCATACCATTTGGCCGCTTTTGACTCCAGTTCATACTGGAGTTCTAACATGTCCGGCACAGCAGCACTCAGTGGGGGCGTGACTTCATTCAGGCCACGGTAGTCCACCGTCAGCCTCCATTCTCCACTGGCTTTACACACTGGCCATATGGCACTGTTAAAAGGTGAGTGATTTTTGCTGATCACTCCCTGACTCTCTAGCTGACAAAACAGCTTATGAATGGGGAGCAAGGAATCTCTGTTGGTGTGGTACTGCCATCTGTGCACTGTTTTTGTAGCAATCGGTACCTGTTGCTCTTTTACTCATAGCAACCCCACAACAGATGGATCTTCTGACAGTCCAGGCAAAACAGACAATTGCTTAACACCTTCTGTGTCTACAGCAGCTATTCTAAAGGCCCACTGATACCCCTTGGGATCCTTAAATATACCCTTCTGAGGTAATGAATACCAGGTATATATGGAGCCCCTGGGCTCCACAATAGGTTTCTTTTGCCAGTCTTTCCTAGTGAGGCTTATTTCAGCCTCCAGCATAGTCAACTCTTGGAAATCCCAGTCACCCCAGAAACATAAATTTATTTTATCCCTTTGTAACTCGAGGGCATTAGAGTGCTTTATGCACCAGCATGCACCAATGCCTTATATTTCAGTAGTTCTGATGTGCCAGGCCATCTAATCCACACAGTACAATATGCTCTTTTGTCCCTTTCCCTCTGCTGGCTGGGGCAGGGCCCCTCTATTTGTTTCCTCTATCATTCTTCTTCCATGAGTCATGATCAGGGTCCTTACCACTTTTGCCGTGTACCACAGAAACTGGAGCAGTCACCTTGTTGGAGAAGTTCATCTTGGTGGTTGATCTGTCTTGAAATTACTTTGCTTGTGCCTGTAGTACAGGAGTGGTTTTTTTATACCACATCTTCACATCTTCTCCATGGTCACATAGGTAACGCCAAAAGGCAATATGCAGCACAGTCTTACTGTTGTCACTTGCTCGAGCAGGAGGACACCTTCATTTAATAGCTGAGACATTGGATGGTGGAGGTTGGGAATAAGCCAATTTGATCAGCCCTTCCAGTAGGCTGTTTTGAGAATCCTGATCTCCATCAGGTGTCTCTGATATCACCAAGGATTTGTCCATTTCATCACAATAAAGCACAGTAGGCAGTTTGTCCATTATATCTTCTTGTTTGCTCTCCATTCTGTGAAATTTTTCAGTTATTTTTTCAGTGGCTGAAACAGAAGCTCACATAGGGGTTAAATGTAATTCAAAGTCATGAAGTCTGTTGATTAGTTCATTTAAAAGAGGTATTGTTTCCCCTCTGCCTTACATTGCTCCAGATGTACTGGTGTACCTTTCTGGTGCAGTCTTTGTGAATATACACCACATACTTGGTATACACCTGACTCTCTCAGGATCATGCTCTTTGTTTGGATTGTCAGGAATAAATGTACAATCATGCAGCATTTCCACCACAATGCATTCTCTCTAATAATGGATGCCTTTTTCCACAGCAGTTCATTTTTTTATCTCAGGCATCAGATTGTCTTTGAACAGATATTTTTCCTTTATGGCTAACAGTATCCACTTCCAGGGGGTGAACACCTCATCCTGACATCCACTTCAATGGCTGAGTCCCTAGCAATGCCACCCAGTTGATGATCTTCTTTAATATCTAGTGACACACTTTTGGCCCCATTGTCCCAACATTGAAGTAATCAGGTGACAGTAGGCTCATTTGGGTGGCATGAAAAGTCTTTTCCTGGAATTTCAGTCAGTTTCAGAGGTCGAGTAGTAATGGTGATGATATCTTCCTCACCTTCTTGTCTTTCAGGACTTGTTGTTGCTCTCCTGGTCATTGGTGACCATGATCTTGCTGGGGGTCTAAGCCCTCTCTCTGGTTCCTCTGCATCTTGGACCACTATGGGCCTCTTTCCTCCTCCTGTGGTCTTCTTCCTCTACTTCCTCCTCCTTCTCCTCTTTCTTCTATTCTAAATTAGGTGATGCTCATTTCATTTTCTGTCCCCTTACAGGGGCAACTGACATCGATGCTGGTACCTCTGTGATTAATCAGGTTGCTCAATTTCAATGCTCCTACTCTCCAGCTCAGTTCAGAGTCTGTCTTGTTCAGTTAGCAGGAAGTCTCTTTGAGACTGAAGTTTGACTTGTTCAGTTTGGAGACTGTTAATTTGGATTGCCAGATGTCTCATTCAGCTTGGAGACTGTCAAGCTTGGACTGGAAGGTGTCTCACTCAGATTGGAAGTT